CAAAGAACGGTGTTATATTGGACGTTTCGTTCCAAAACACACGTACCTCTTCTTCCTGAAAGATAAAACGTTGTCATCATATTGCAGCTGAACAGGTTTTCGTCGGTTGTCACTCGGGTTTCGAAAACTTCCGGCTTTCGTCTCATTATCCTGCGAGTACAAAATTTTAGAGGGATAGTCTGATTGATATTCCCTATTAGTCAATATTTTGTGTGCTGGAGCTTTTCGAGAGCCCTCTGCGTGCTTACTCATTCCCGGAAGCAAGAGAATACGGGGAAACGCTACAACACATTTGTGTAATGTAGACGGTAGCGCAACTCTAATGTTGGCCCCTGGCTTCGTAATCTGCCCATTGTCGTATGCATAAATACACGATAGCTTGATAGAGCCTTTCATAGGGGCGAAGGAAAATAAGTGTAGTTATGGGGTTACCGTAGGGTTTTCCACAAGGTCACGATAACCGTGAGGGGCGAGAGGCACCGCGCCCTGAGTGCTCGAGTGTCCGTTGCTGACATGACGATGTTCTTGCGAGTCCATGCTACTTTTTGGCGGGCGACTTGAAATCCTGGAGTACCAATGCCAGTGCCCTCCAATTGGATGTAGACGCTACCAAGCAGTGGTCGTTGGACTGGCGCCTTCCTCTGAACGACGAAAAGTGCGTCCATATGTCGTTCGGAGGAGACTCAGCGAATGCCTTTGTTATGCATGGTGAGAAAGGACCAGAAAACATCATGAGGATAAAAAATGATTTGGGCATCTGGGTCTCCTCAAACTTGCCCCTCTCATGAGAAGTCGGCCCAAAAGGCATTCGTCATTTTACGGATGATCCGATGCACCTTCTCCCGTATTGCTCACATAGACCTCCAAAATCCAAGGGGCCTACGTCAGACCGATCCTGGAGTACCTGAACCAAGTTGTCTACTCAGGATGCACGAAAGGCGTCACCCTCGCTGAGCGTTTCCAACGAGCCGCCACGAGAATGGTTGTCGGCCTCAAATCCGTGGGCTAGGAAACGCGTCTCGCGATGCTCGATCTCTTTCCCATGGAGTACCGTCGCCTCCGATGCGACCTAATTATTACCTGTGCCATGTCTGAACAAAGCTTGGCAAGCAGGTTTTTTACCGTTGAACCAGCAAACACCCGGCGGGGACATAGTAAGAAAATTTTTACTCTCAGAGCACACACATTCATTAGACAAAAATTTTTCCCATTTTGGGTAGTAGGTGCGTGGAATGACCCTCCTCCGACAGTTGTTCACGCACCTTCTGGAACCCTGTTTAAAGCACTATTAGACACTTATTTATGCGAATCCTCGCGCTGGCGAGCATACTGCCCCGCGCTGAGAACATAAAGAGCAGTGCTACACCCTTTTTTCACTTGTGCCTTTCAGGTGAACGACAGCCACTGCCCGACAAGAACAAAAGCGACCCGAGAAACTTGGGCGATAGCCTCGATCCTGTGTATCAATCCGTGAATCCGTGACCAATCAGGACTTGCCGTCGTTCGATCCGTATGCAGGTCGGAGCATGTCTGTCCAATGGGCGTTTTTGCGCTGTTCCAGCACCTGACTGAAGATTCAGTCAGCGCTACATCTACCAGGTCGGAATTCCAGAAAATGGCCCGTTGCAGCTGTCGAGTCATGATATATTGTAGTATGCACGCTATGGAAGCACCAGATGACAATGATTCTCCGAATACAGGTGTTCGTGACAATTTCTGTGGATGGAAAACAGAAGGAATGCTCATGAGCCCGAAGCCTAGTCAGCAAGGTTGTACATCACCAATACTTACATATAAATCAATCAAACTGGCAGACACCGTATACTACAATACGCATATCCTTGGCTATGCCATACTCTGAACTCCGGACATTTGACATGCAAAGGGAGCGGAGTACAATTGATTCACCATCTAACGATGGATACACATGCATTTTGACGTCTGAACGGTTGGGCATGTTTACGCTTGAGCAACCTGACTGGTTTGCCCGGCGCTTCGAACAATGACCGAGTAACTGTCCAGATTGTCGATGGATTTATCCACCTTTCAGGATTTCCCGGATTGGTATCGCCACGGATGCTTAGAATTCTAAGCATGTTAACATGCTGAACATTTAATTAGGTATAGTTGATTGCAGGATCTGTAGAACTGACGCTCACAGTCATCCTGCACTGATGACAATTGTCATAGCTCTTACTAGAGCTAAAGCTCCAGTAAGAGCGAAACCCTAGTGCTTCATCCGTTGGGTGTAGACTCACCAGAAAAGTTGCCCTAGGTCTGGAGGATGACCGTTTAGATGAGAGTGATGGGAACCTGAATACTATAAATCCAGTGATCATCTATAGCTAGGCTCGTCTAACTTCGGGATCTTTCCTCTGCTTAGAAGGAAGCGGTTGTCACCCCAATCCAAAAAAACTGGTGGCCAATTTTCGCCCGACAGCTGCAGGCCTGTTATCCTCACTAACGTACCGTGCAAGATGATGGAACGCATTCCAAGATCACCTTACTACCAACAACTTGATATCCTCAGTTCAACACGGATTCTTCTCAAGGCGTTCTTGCGTGACGAATATGCTCGTATTTATGGACAGCTTAACCCAAGCTAAGGACAAGGGACTCATATGGGATGGCACATTTTTCGACACTTCAAAAGCATTCGATTGATTCCACACGTCCCGCTGCTCCACAAACTCGAGTCTTAAGGATTCAAGCATAAATTCTACGCTGGATTAAGATGTTCCTATCAGACAAAACATTTCGAGTGAAAGTAAGCTCTGCCTACTATTCTCGGGCGTCAGTCTTAAATGGAGTCCCTCGAGGCTGTTTTTGGACCACTTCTGTCTCTGATATACATCAAAGACCTTCCAGACGTTCTTTCTAGTTCCTCCTTCGGCCTAGGCAACCGCGAAGTATCTGTTGTGTCTGTAGGTGCTAGCTGAGTGATTTAGGAGCTTGATGCAATTTATTCTGTCACGTTGATAGTCTAGTTACTTGAGTGGGAAACCCTTAAGCAAGAAGACAAAGGTCACCAGGTAAAGATCGGCTGTATTATTGCAGATGAGCCAATGGAAGAAAGGGCGCTGCGACTCAGTTGGCTACAACAGAGAGGAAATGAAATCTCAGTGAAATATTACGAAGGGTAGAATTGTTCCTTAGGACGTGATCGACCTGACACATCCCTTTTCAAAATGTGCGTAGGTTTTCAGATGTGGGATCACCTGCATTGGTGTGGATGGTTAAGACTGGGTTACGACTGGACCACCGTCTTGGTGTGCATATGGATTCGACTAGGGGTTGTCTGTTTGTACAGGGGGCACATGTGTAGATGGTAACTCAAAGGTATCCAACAATAGGTCCGGAGGAATAGAGTTATCAGATGTAGCCGGTGCGGCGTGTCCAGGGCGAAGTTAATTCGCGTGACGGATCCACGTTTTGTACTGTACGTCAGCTTCGCGTATGACGTTACCTACGTGGCGCTTTATGTAACCATGAGTTCATTTCTCTCCGCTACTGCGATAGTCCTTAGCCAAGACCCAATCCACGGGCTTATAGGCGGTATGGAAGGCACCATGATGGCGGTTGAATTGTTGCTCCATTTGTGTGTTCCTTTTTCATAGGTGCAAGGGAAATGGGCGTGCTATACCCATGGGTAAACGGATTTTACGCCCGAGAAGCGCTTCCGCGGGTGAGTTGTTAGGTACATTTGGGTCAGGTGTAGCACGGTAGCGTAACAAGAATCAATAATCTCCGCTGACGCTCCCTCTCCTTTAAGTTTTTGAAGCGATCATTTAAAGGAGTTGACAAAGCGTTCAACTTGACCGTTGGACTGAGGATGGAATGGCAGTGATCTAACATGGTGAATGTTGTATGGCATGCAAAACAAGGCAGATTCCGCCGAGGTCAATATACTACCGTTGTCTGAAACCAGTGTTTCTGGCGTACCGAAGCGACTGAAGATTCGGGTGAGCTGCAAGATTCTGGAGCGAGTAGTGATGTGGTTCATCATGACTATATCCATCCATTCACTGTAAGCGTTAACCATGTCAAGACAATGCTGATTGTTAATTGGTGCAGGCCAATAAGATAAACTGGTCTTCTACGGCGATTTTGCGGAACACTGACATTTGGAACAGGACTGCACAAGTTCTTCTGACCGTTTGTACATACCCGGCCAGTATACATAACTGCGCGCCAAAGCTTTCTTGCGGTTAATGCCCGTGTTCAAAATGAAACTTTTAGTACCCGCGCTTGCAATTTGATCGGTCTTATAGCACGTTCACCAAAAAGAAGGCAACCATCGACTTCAGATAGAGAAAAGCTTCTATGGACTAATGACTGAATGTCTCGTGTCACTGATAATGGCCAGCGTACTACTTGTTGGAGCACGGGGTCACATCTGGTTTCGTCCCGGACCATTGTTGAAGCCACTACGCCTGTCAACCCATTCAGTATAGCTTCCATGATCTGTTGGAATATGGCTGGCTCTGTGTCTCCGAAACACGCACACAAGACCCGGGCAAGGTTATATATCTCAGAACGCCAATGTTGAACTCAGCTCTTCCATATTTCTCCCTCAGTGTGTCCGACGACCCGAAAGCGATGACTCGTGGAATATATGGGGAGCTGCACTCAGCCCCAGAGCTGAACGCACTTTGCTGGGTTGGATCCCAGTGAACAGTCGTCTATGCACCGTCCGGTTATCCAGTTCAATCAAGCTCAATGCCTCTCGGCATAAAAAGCGGTGCCTGTTCCTAGTGTCGGCTTATGCCCCAGCGGACTGCGGGCGATTTGAATGCTGAAGCAGGTCGTCTGAGCTCCTGTGAATTATTTGGGCGGCTGATCCGGAGTCGATGCTCGCCGCACAGACAACAAAGATAGACTCCTTCAGTTGTGTGCTGATCATGAACTGCCACTGGCAAGTACGAACTTTCAACATGAATGTTCTCACCGTGTAACCTTGCGGCCACCAATTACAAACCAACCGTGAACCCAGTTGGATCATGTGGCCATCAGCCACCGGTGGAGAGCCACAATTCAAGACTGCCGTTCCACTTCATTCGGATCACGCCATGGTGCGTGCACGCCTGACAGTTCGTCTCCCTTCAGGCCCTCGCAAGGCAGCAAGAAGCATGCCAATCCACTGTCTTCGAAGAACTACCATAGTTCAACAGTATCGATCTGAGCTAGCCCAACAACTCTCCATAATAAACCAATACTGTGGTGGCAGTGATCGTGTGGATGAAGCATTGCAAAATGTGGAAGGAGCTATGTTAGTGGCGTTCAGTGCTGACTGTCTGACTTCCCCAATTCGACCACAAGACCACTGGATGTGAGATCACTATCCATGATCGATGCCAGGAAAACTATACCAGCAGGCAACGAGTTCGACGGCGCACGCAAATCCCTCAAACGCCAAATAGTAAAGAGTCTAAGGAAGGACCAAGAGCTCTGGTGAACATCGAAAGCTCAAGAGACGGAGAAGGCGTTTTCTACGTGAAACAGCTGAAACAACTGATACGATCGACCGACCCTAGGAAAGCAAGGGTCGGCGAAACGATAAGTTAAAAAGATGGCTCGCAAAAACGTTGACTGGAAAGATGGGCTGAACATTTCAAAGATCAGTTCGGCTGGCCTCTTGCAACACAGCCTGTGGAGATAATGCACATGGGCGAATGGAATGTAAACCTTGATCGCCCTTCGGAAGAAGAAATAAGGTACGAAACAGCCCTACTCATCATCATCATCATCATCATCAAATACAGCAACATCAGTGTTGCCACTGATGCTTCACTGCTTCACTACTTCACACTCAGCTGCAGTTTCTGCACGTCCGAGTTCAGTTACAACCCTAAACAGCCCTACTAAAACATGAGAAGGCACCAGGACCGGACGGTCTGTATCCAGCCCTCTTCAGAGAAGGCGGAAAATCCCTGGTGACCCATCGCCGTTCAGCTGTAGCATCCTTTCGGTGCCTAACTGCCATGCCACCCGAAGGTTGCACGAGGGCTGGGATACTGCCAGGTTGCCCAAGCCTAGACAGGGGAAGTCGACAGGTGGAGGTCGGGTTCGAACCACGAACCTTCCCGTCAGTAAATTCGCGCTCTAGTTACTTCGGCCATCTTGCCCCGTGACCCATCTGACAAAGCTTATTGGTACCATATGAGGCGAAGAGAAGGTACCAAAAACCGCGATAGACGAGTAATAATCTCTGATACCTAAGTGCCGTACGACCATGAGGAAAAAACGTTCTGTTAAAGTGTGAGAAAAATGGGAAATTCTGAGTGCTTTGTGCAGACAAGCCCTATGCTAACGAACAAACCATACAGGCCTCCCAACACTAATCATATAAACACATCTTAGCGTCATATCGGAATGAGAGTTCAACAGCCGAATCGACCCATCATCCTCCATAAACTTCAAAGAACAAACTCGATGCAAAACAATAAACTTGGGTAGTCCGACTAGAAATGACGGCTCGCTCATCCCTGGGATTAGTTATATGCCATGTCCTGTGAGCCATATAGCCACATGTATGATAGTTTATGCCGAGCCGCATGTGTACTCAGCTAGACTCCTTTCACCCGGTTCAAACCCAAGGAAACAAAGGCGTAGGGTGAACAGGATAGGACAGTTTTAAAGATGTCAGCAGTCTAACTGGTTGCCCATAAATGTCAATTCATGTGGGGACAACTGAAAACGTACAGTGTACATAAGAGGTCGTCTGGTGGCCTGGCACATATGACCAGCCAGTGCTAGCTATTATTCAACTTGGTTCGTTCAACCATAGTCACCGAGATTCACCTCTAGCACGATTTTAATCCTAATGCTCCGAAAATTCGGAGTGTTAAGGTGGCCTTTTTGTAAATGTATAAGTGAGACAAATATGTGATTGAAGCGTAGAGATTAGAAACCAGAACGAAATAATGTAATGCAATGTAATAGAGTGCATATAAAATAACTTTGAGATGGCAACGATAAAAAAAAATAGATAACCTGGCAACGCGGAACAGAACGAATCACTTTAGGCTTGGTCAGTGGCACTTCGTCTGACCTCAGCGGGCACTGTCTACCACCCATCTTGTGACACCAACTAGTCACACAGACTCTTCGGCGTACAGTGGGGCGAGATGGCCGAAGTGGTTAGAGCGCGGATTACTAACCTGAAGGTCCGCGGTTCGAATCCGACCTCCGCCACTCGACTTCCCCTGTCTAGGCTTGGGCAACCTGGCAGTATCCCAGCCCTCGTTCGGGAGAAATAACTCACTACCGACGGATGAACTGACTACTTTAGATAGGTTGCGCTGGCTTGGCCACGTGCTGTATTTGCCAGTCAACCGACTTCCTCCAAGGGCTCTTTATGCGCAACCACGTGAAGGGTGGAAGAGGGACAGAGGTGGTCAAACGATGACTTGGCAGCGAAGTATGAAAGTCATTACCAGCAAGCTCAGCTGCGCTGGTCATTGTTTTCTTCCTGGATGGGGACCCCGAGACAGGCCACATCAATGGGTAAAGACATTATCAGACGGCCCAATCGCGCCCTCAATGACGCTCATGTATCAAGGTTTTTGCCTTCACTGCATAGCTCCCTTCCCAATTCCCCCACTTAACAGACTACTGACAGTGCTGTATTTACGTACTAATTTATCAACTCCCGCCTCCAATGCACAGCTACCTACCCCACCGCCCCGAATCATCGGTGAACGAAACCGTGTGATCTACAACCACTGTACGACAAGTACGCGGTTATTACAACCAATCCATGAGGCAGAATTATTTAGGTTATCTAAAAACACCATAGGTTCCAACTGGATTCCAGGCGAGTGTCCCGTCAAAACCAGATTGGTATGCAGGTGAGTGTATTCCTCTAAATCATCTTATACTATTTGCATTATGTGGACATCAGATTCAAGAATAGCAATGTGCTTATCCGATACTTGTGAGCGAATGGTCTGGGAGCATTCCGACCCCACATGCATTAGAGGCTGCTGGTGAGTCTTCCATAATCTTATCAGTGAGGAATTGGGAAAGGAAAGGTAAAAGAGGGCAGCCCTGTCTGGCACCACTTAAAATAGTGAACTCAGGTGAGAGCTGCTCGTAGACCTTTACACGTACAGCTTTTTAAGTAGGGCGAAGAATTTGTGGGGGCACCTTTGCTTCACAGGCACTGTCATGGTGCATGACGGTCCTCAGAGTCAGAGGAAGCTCTCAAATCCAGGAAGCCGAACGTTGTTGGTCGCTGGAAACAGTGTTGCTGTTCCAGAGTTCGTCGGAGGGTGAAAATATGGTCGATGTATTCTCTTGCAGTACGGAATCCAGCTTGGTTTCTACTGATCTGACAAGTATGAAACCATCAAATGGTATATTGAGTTGTATCGACGGGTGTTGGCTCCTGGATGGGGACTTGGGGACTCAACTCACCAATGGGCAATGATACTGGCAGAAATTGCCGAATCGCGCAGTCAGTGGCGCTTGAGCGTCAAATCTGTCGTCTTCAATGCGAGGTTACCCAGTTCTCGAACTAACTGAGCATGCAATCGCCTCCCGTGCTTCAATGTATGTCCCAAACTCCTTTTTTCAGTGATCGAGGCTGTTGCTGTTGGGAACAATTTATCCTTCTTTTATAGCTGACAACTTGATTTGGAACTAAACCCAAAGCCCACGTCAATCAAGAAAATTGTTTCATACTTTTCCGTCGGCTTTTTCAGAAATTACGTCACGTATTGACCGAGTATTCAGACCCGTTGATGAGGTACTTGATGAAGTGCTTCAAGTTCCCTGCAGTTGCTTCTGGAGATTTTACGTTGGTGTCCTTGGGAGCTCTTAATGATATTGTTTCGTTTCATACTTCCACAGTTCATAAATGCGGTGTAATAATTTAGTCTTGGGATCTCACTCTCCAGTTTTTTCTCATTTATAACCTTTTGAATTTATTGGGGTTTATTTTGACCCTTTTTGACCTTACCATTTTCTACTTAACCATTCTCTATGTGGATATACCTAGTCATGCCGCTGAGCAGGGCTTTTGCTTTATTAATGTGGGGCAGTTTGTCGATGATGACTATTAGGGTCCTTTTTCGGCGGTAAAATACAGTTAATCATTCCTGATGTTTTTTATCATCATTGGAAAAAGACGTTGAATATTCTGTTGCGTGTGGTGGCCGGAACGATAGTTTGGTGGGGTTGCTCTTGAGTGTCCTCATTCAGTTTGATATGCTTCATTGCCACTTCCATTCTGGCTAGCTTCTTCGGGTTCGTGGCTTCCTTGAAATGAAAAAAATGAATCTTTTATTTAGGCGTTCTGTTCTATCCCTGTTTACTGTCTGACTTAGATCGTAGTTCTTTTGCAATGCTGAATCGCTGTAGAGGTTCAGATTCTGTTGCACTCAAGCGGGCCTCCCTATGCTCAGTGATTATTCCTTCCTATTTTCCACGCGTTTATTGTATTTCTACCGTTTTGTCGGACTGGTGTCTTGGCCTGCGGAAGGTTTAATGATTTGTAGTAGTTTGGTTGACGAGGAAAAGGCATTCGCGTAGGCTTTCCATCTTGGAGGCTTCTAGGGTTGGGTTCATACCACAGGTCTTTTAGTAGCTTCATGTCTTATCCGTCGAGCTATCTTGAGATGGTTCTTTGGGGGAGCATTGACCATGATGGTGAGTGCATTTGTGTATCGTCATTAATGGATTGTCCTCCTTAATTTCGGATTCACAGGTTTGTAGATGATTAAAGCACCTCATAACCCTGCTTTCATCTCTTTGCAGATATATTGACTACCTCACGTAGTTTACCCAATGGCAACTTCTATAATCAAAGTACACACGCTTTCCGGTGCGGGAGACGGGGGTCCACCTTGTTATATAGTGCAGGTAACAGGTAGATTGCCTTCAACTTCAACTTTTAGGTCGATGAGTTTCATTGTTTGCTTGACTGTGGTTGGTCAGATGGACTGGACAAAGAATATGTGAAGCGGCTTACGCAGTGGACTCGCCACATAGATGCCGTTCTGTTGAGCCACCAGAGTTTGCGACATTTGGGACTGCTTCCCTTTTTAGTGGGTTCGTGTGGACTCAAGTGCCCAGTATACGCAACTACACCCGTATATAAAATGGGCCAATTAACTCTCTACGACTTTTACCAGTCTATGTATGCATCAGAGGATTTCACGGCATTCACATTGGATGATGTTGATGCAGCATTTGACTTGGTGGTTCAAGTGAAATATCAACAAACGATTAATCTTCCTGGTCGAGGTCGCGGTCTGTGCATAACACCTCTCCCCTCAGGTAAGGAGCTAATCATTCATATTGCCTATCCTAAGGACATACTTTGGGAGGCACGATATGGAAACTTGTCAAAGAGGATACTGACATTGTGTACGCAGTTGATTTTAATCACAAAAAGGAACGGCATCTGAACGGTGCAACTTTTGATGCTTGTATGCGTCCACACTTGCTGATTATGGATGCTTCCAACACAATGTATACCCACGTAATTCCCTTTTTCTACTTACTATGAAACTGACAGCCTCGACGAAAAGATCGTGATGAAACCCTACGGCACTGTATTTTGAAAACATTGAGACGTGGTGGAAATATTCTGGTGGCCGTAGACACAGCGGGCCGATGTCTGGAAGTCGCTCATTTTCTTGAGCAATGTTGGTTGAATCAAGTAGGTCCTTTAATGATATCTCCCAGCCTTCTGAACCACCATGCATCATGTTAAAAATTTTGTGGCCGTCGGTTTAACCCATGGTGTATTCTAAGAGTAATACTATTCCGGTTGGCCTCAGACTGCTTCCCTTCTGTGCACTGAATCGATTTCTCTTGTTCCTGGTTTGGGTTCCTAATGTTTGTGTTTGTCCTCATCCATGGATTTTTCCGTCGCCACCATTTATATACCACTTGGGAGTTTGTGAACACAGCTAGCCTTTTTAATCACCCGCTCATTTGTTCTTTTCTTCGCAGGACTCAGGCATGATGGCTTACGGTTTGGCAATGCTCAGTTTTGTGGCTTTCAATGTTGTTGATTTCGCCAAGTCTATGGTTGAATGGATGTCAGAAAAGGTTATGCGTACATTCGAAGATCAACGTACGAACCCGTTCCATTTCCGGCATGTTCAGTTATGTCACACGCTTGAGCAATTGGATACGGTTCCCGAACCAAAAGTGGGTGACTTTTCAGCGGATCTCGTAATCGTTTCACAAAGCTATTTATATACGCCAGGATATTTAATTCAAACGTTTCACATCTCTGTTTGGACTCCTGTTGTATTGTCAATTTACATGGTTCCCAGTGTCAACATGCATTGTGTTATGTATCCCGACCTAGATTTCGACCTGAGTTTAGCAAGATTTCCAAAGAATCAGAACACAGGTGGAACGAACGTTTACAACTAATCCTCTTCTGGCTAATACAAATGATAAGCAAAGTCGAAATAAGGCGGTCCATAAGGTAGTCTGCAAGATAAACTCTAAAGGACGTTAGTATCTACTTATGATTTCTCAATGTAATGATTACAGAAAGGTTAGTGAAGAACGTTAGTTTGTCAGCTTGTTTTCTTAGCAGGTGATCCGTGATGTGTGAAAGACCGCTTCCCAAGTGCTTGCTGGCATACAAACCAGCTGCAAAGATGCTGATTGTCACTGGTTAGAAAAAGCCGAAAACAAAGTGCACGAATTTGCTGAGGTTCCCAGTTATTATTTTCGAACCTACCTACTTTACGATGAGTCATCTTAACGGATGTCCCGCATTGTTAGTGTCCACGAATGCCGCTCAGAGGCGAACTCCGTGCAGGCGGATCCGATTCCGACTACAATAACGGATATCATGTGCCATTGAGGCCGAACCACCCCAAGTCCGATCCAGGTTTTTCAGCTGCTATCCAAGACGACAACGCCATCATTAGTATGTAGAAGTACAACTACTGTACCCTTTTGGTTGCTAGAAGTCATACAACTCGACGGAATATGGAGTACTCAGCTACCGGGACTTTACCCGAGCACAGACGGGAGTAGTTAAAACTCATGAGTTGAATTCGAACAGCGGATATCTTAGGTGGGAGATGGCCGTTTCTTGAATCTCAGTGTGTCAGGTTTTAACTTTGAGCGTTAGTATGTGTGATGGATAAAACCTCGATGTTTTATCAACCGAAGGCCCACAAACTCCAAACTCCCCATCTTTGGCACAAAATTTTATGCTTGTATACCCTTAGCATCGATAGTGGACATCCTAGCAGTAGTTCTGTTGAGCTAAGTGTCGTGGTCTGCACTAAGTCTATGAACTGGTTGACACAAGTTCGGTAACATGAAACAGCATATCATGCATCTTTTTAATTTCACACTGCCAGTCAGATTACGTAGACAAAACGAGAAAATGAAAAAAAGTCGTTCTACTGTAGCATCCATTCGGCGCCTAGCTACCATGCCACCCAATGGAAGCACGGGAGCTGGGAATCTGCCGGTCGCCCAAGCCTAGACAGGAGCAGTCGAGATGCCTTGGTCGGGTTGAAACCAAAGGCCTTCCGGCTAGTAGGTTCGCGCCGAGATGGCCCAAGTGGTTAGAGCGCAAAATTAATGACCTGAAGGTCCGTGGTTCGAATCCGACCTCCACCACTCGACTTCCCCTGTCTAGGCTTGGGCAACCTGGCAGTATCCCAGCCCTCGTGCTTCCTTCGGGTGGCATGGCAGCTAGACGCCGAAAGGGTGCTACAGCTGAAAGCTTTCTTCTTTCGTAACCATTGAACCATTTGGAGCTCATACAAAATGAGAAATTCATCTGTCCCTGTGTGGCTTTGGCGGCACAAGTTGTGGATTCGGAAGCTGCTTCCAATCGTGACACTGAATTTGGCTGAGCACATCGGCATTTTGTGGACTCCTGGCTTCCTTGTAATACCAATAGTTTGGCTCAGTTCACTTTGTGATGCATTGGCATTCCGAAACGTTCTGTCTGTTTTTTCTAGGTAGTACTCGCCTCCGCTTCGGATCTCAGTTGTGGATTCGCTCGTCAGTTGTTTGCCGAATGGGCCGATAGTGACCTGAACACGGTCATTCTCACGTCCCGCGAGTCATGCGTGGTCAGTGAAGAGCCTGGAGATTACACTTTACTTGGTCGCCTAATCGGATTGGCCAGAGGCGATGCAGCCGCGCGACAAGGTCTGCCTACAAGTTCGACAGGCACATTAGTTCTCCCACTTTCCTTATCTCAACGTGTCTCGCAAGCGCAGTATGAACAACTAAAAAATGAGGTACCACGGATACGAAACGCTGTCCAGGTCGGCTCCACAATACTTCCTTCAAGTGCATCGTCCTCCGGCGCACTGGACGTTGGAGCAGCGATAATTCCTATGCCTGAAGGAATGGACGAGTCGGGCAACACGCCAGGAGACGACCAAAATACTGATACAGGTATGATGTCATTGAATTTTTTGTCGTGAGTTTCCCCCGTTATCTTGAATCTGTTTCCTCTCAAATCTATTGTTAACACCGTTGGTAATTCCAACTGCTTTAGTTGAGCTTTACGGCATTCAACCTTGGCCAGAATTGTCTGAGTTCGAACTAAACGGCGAAACATTTACGTCCTTGTCATGCTAATATTTTACTGATTGAATTTTTGTACTCAGCAACTGAGATACCCTCGTCTCGTCCTTTACTGTTGTCAAATAAGAGGTGAAATGGAGCCAAATCGTGTAGACGTATGGGCACTCACCAGAATGCCGATAAACCAAACGGCAGTCAGGTTGCGTGATTGATGTGGATTGTTCTTGGTAGATGGATCGTGGACCAGTTGAGTCGTACTGAAAAATTTAGTCGCTTTTGGGCACAGAGTTATGGTTTCCCAAGGCTGATTGCGATCGATTTAGCTGGATTATGAGTCAACACTACGATTGACTGCTATTGACTCGGTTGACAGTTTCTGAGTGCACTTCCCAGGTTGACCTTACCGGTCGCCATATTGCTAGGAATTGCACTGCTCCCCAACTTTTGATATCCATCTCTTAGATCTGTAGGTCAGTGTTGTGTAACACTAACATTCATGTAGTCGTACAACTAAGGTAGTTTGCGGGGCATTCATGGACAAATGAGTAGTCATCGTTGTCAGTGTACGATCCTGTACTAAGGCCGTGATCTCAAGGCAAGGAATTGGTTAATTAGCCTAAACGCACGATCTAGTTATCCTATCTGACAGGTAGCGTGTAGTCCAATTCAACGACGGACGGTCGGTGATAATTACGGCGAAACCGTATCCTACGAACTTCATCTGCGTTTGTTCAGTAGTCGCAAACAATATATTGCATTAGACGTGGACAGACAGTATAAATAGGTAGACCATGGTTCTACAAGAAATTAACAGTAAGTAATGAGCAGAATTAAAGGGAAGCTTACGGATGGATTGAATGTTCGAATCCGACCTCCACCACTCGACTTCCCCTGTCTAGGCTTGGGCAATCTGGCAGTATCCCAGCCCTCGTGCTTCCTTCGGGTGGCATGGCAGCTAGGCGCCGAAAGGGTGCTACAGCTGAAAGCTTTCTTCTTTCGTAACCATTGAACCATTTGGAGCTCATACAAAATGAGAAATTCATCTGTCCCTGTGTGGCTTTGGCGGCACAAGTTGTGGATTCGGAAGCTGCTTCCAATCGTGACACTGAATTTGGCTGAGCACATCGGCATTTTGTGGACTCCTGGCTTCCTTGTAATACCAATAGTTTGGCTCAGTTCACTTTGTGATGCATTGGCATTCCGAAACGTTCTGTCTGTTTTTTCTAGGTAGTACTCGCCTCCGCTTCGGATCTCAGTTGTGGATTCGCTCGTCAGTTGTTTGCCGAATGGGCCGATAGTGACCTGAACACGGTCATTCTCACGTCCCGCGAGTCATGCGTGGTCAGTGAAGAGCCTGGAGATTACACTTTACTTGGTCGCCTAATCGGATTGGCCAGAGGCGATGCAGCCGCGCGACAAGGTCTGCCTACAAGTTCGACAGGCACATTAGTTCTCCCACTTTCCTTATCTCAACGTGTCTCACAAGCGCAGTATGAACAACTAAAAAATGAGGTACCACGGATACGAAACGCTGTCCAGGTCGGCTCCACAATACTTCCTTCAAGTGCATCGTCCTCCGGCGCACTGGACGTTGGAGCAGCGATAATTCCTATGCCTGAAGGAATGGACGAGTCGGGCAACACGCCAGGAGACGACCAAAATACTGATACAGGTATGATGTCATTGAATTTTTTGTCGTGAGTTTCCCCCGTTATCTTGAATCTGTTTCCTCTCAAATCTATTGTTAACACCGTTGGTAATTCCAACTGCTTTAGTTGAGCTTTACGGCATTCAACCTTGGCCAGAATTGTCTGAGTTCGAACTAAACGGCGAAACATTTACGTCCTTGTCATGCTAATATTTTACTGATTGAATTTTTGTACTCAGCAACTGAGATACCCTCGTCTCGTCCTTTACTGTTGTCAAATAAGAGGTGAAATGGAGCCAAATCGTGTAGACGTATGGGCACTCACCAGAATGCCGATAAACCAAACGGCAGTCAGGTTGCGTGATTGATGTGGATTGTTCTTGGTAGATGGATCGTGGACCAGTTGAGTCGTACTGAAAAATTTAGTCGCTTTTGGGCACAGAGTTATGGTTTCCCAAGGCTGATTGCGATCGATTTAGCTGGATTATGAGTCAACACTACGATTGACTGCTATTGACTCGGTTGACAGTTTCTGAGTGCACTTCCCAGGTTGACCTTACCGGTCGCCATATTGCTAGGAATTGCACTGCTCCCCAACTTTTGATATCCATCTCTTAGATCTGTAGGTCAGTGTTGTGTAACACTAACATTCATGTAGTCGTACAACTAAGGTAGTTTGCGGGGCATTCATGGACAAATGAGTAGTCATCGTTGTCAGTGTACGATCCTGTACTAAGGCCGTGATCTCAAGGCAAGGAATTGGTTAATTAGCCTAAACGCACGATCTAGTTATCCTATCTGACAGGTAGCGTGTAGTCCAATTCAACGACGGACGGTCGGTGATAATTACGGCGAAACCGTATCCTACGAACTTCATCTGCGTTTGTTCAGTAGTCGCAAACAATATATTGCATTAGACGTGGACAGACAGTATAAATAGGTAGACCATGGTTCTACAAGAAATTAACAGTAAGTAATGAGCAGAATTAAAGGGAAGCTTACGGATGGATTGAATCTTGGGCAGTTGGCAACACAGGATGGCACAGAAAGAACAATGCACTATCGGACAACTTAAACGGGAAGACCATTGTGCGGTTCAAAATGGGACGAAATGTTCAACAACAAACCTAGAAATGAATATGGATAAGTCGAGTCATGAGAACAGCTGATATAGAAAAACAGTTAATATAGAATCGACTTTGTATAAAATAGAATAGTCCAGTCTTGAAACTTGAGGAGTCACTGGAGGGGGTAACGAATTAGTCTGAGAAATGGGGAAATAAATAATTGCATCACCTAATCAACAATCAATGTGGACACCGATGCTCCACTACTTGCATCTCCAAACGCTCACTCAGGTAATCTGGAAAAGTAGGTAATCTCTTAGGCTAGGATTGAGGGTTTCGGCACTGTAGAGAGAATTTTTGAAAGTCCATTTTAATGAGCGTTTGGGCTTGTATGTGACGGATTTTGAAACCGCATCGCTCTTGAGCCGAACTAAACGTATTTCTGTTTGCCTGACATAGCACAAGCGTTCGTTCAAGTGACATCAACAATCCTGTTGAAGAGAACTGGTGGAGAAGAGTGCTCCAGTTTGCCACAAAGGGAATCGTATAGAATGTGCCAAAGTAATAAATCCATGCACCATCTATAAATACGTCCGTTGAGAATAACGGCACATTAGAAGAGTGATTGTAAGAAGGCCAATAGAAACAGCTCTATCTGTTCAGTGTAAGGGAATCAGCCACACACAACTGGGAGACGACGTCCAGTTTAGTTCACTGTAGAAACGCAGATATGGTTCTCACCCACGGTTCATGGGAGTGGAACCGGAAACAAATATCACCAGAGGTTGTACAGCAGCATCAAGCAGTTACATGTGTAGTATTCACTCGGAAATCCAAGGCGGCGTCACTGCGGTTAGGCTATTCCCCATACTTTGGACATTGAAGGGGTGGCCCGTAAACTGAGTACGTCTATATTTTTGGTGAGACCGCTTGACTTCAATAGTCAGGAGGAAATTTACAATATTACGACGGATCCACTTCAATACAACTTTGACGCCGCACCGTATACGATCAAGCCCTCAACAAAAAATACAAAAACCCTCATTGCTAAGTTTTCAGACACAGCCGGTCCTTTCGGAAGAGATCATCTTGAGGTAATGACCAAAAGTGATCGTTCCGCATGCGTTTTGGTTCTTCTGGGAGAGGCAGAGCAGTTTTGAAAGTGTAAGGCTATTCAGGCGTTTTTGATCGATGTCACAGCTATATTTGGAATATCCATGAGTCAGAATTAGACTGAAAAAGAAACTGATGCTTCTTGTGTGTGCATGTGCGTCGTTAAAAGAGTAACCGTTATCACTGCCTTTGTTATTGTCGTCAGTGTCTATGCATGTCACTTATGAGATCCACATGTAACACGATACCCGGACAAGTGTTTCTGGTAGAAAGCCACCTGTCTGTAGAAATAACTTGCCTTCTCTCTGGAATCTGGGTGCGGAATGGGTCGGAATAAGGGTTAAAATCGTCTTTCGGTACCTGCATGAAAAGAGATTTCGACAAGTAGTCGTCGTAATACGGACTTAGTCAACTAGGTTATCGGATTAGTCAGTCGTGGGTAGACCTGCACCAAAGGGAAATCGGCTCAAATCGCCTGTCACTCTCTGCTGATTCTACAGCTACCGAGAACGGCTGACTCCGAGTGATTGATCAAGCTGTTGATTCTTCGACCGTAGCTCAAATTTAGTATTTCATACAGGTCCGAATCAATTGCCTTATTTTATTGAACTCTATAGTCCTTTGATTTCCAAATACTTCGTGCGAGTTAATATGGGCTGATTTGCCAACGCAGTAATATAGAAACTCTCCAGATCAAAATCGTTATGTCGCATGAACCATTGTTCTTCAAGGTAGGTAGGAACAAGCATAGAAACCCCCAGATTGTAGTGCACTGAACCTCTAGTATTCTCATATGCTTGTATGTAGAACTCTTATGGCACGTGGAAAACAGACCAGTTCTTTTGAGTTGCTAATCCGACTCTACAATTCTCATCAGTGTTCTCCTCGATTGGAAAGTTGAACATTGATGAATTTTTGTTTGAAATGGCAGGAAAGTGTGACCTGTAAGGCTTAGGGCTTAGCTGAAGACTGATGGCTAACCAGTTGATTCAGTCGGCCCACGGACTGCATAGCCATCTGCGTACTAGCTCCTTGTGTTCATATTTTGGGTCAAAGCGATGTATTTCATGTGTTCAACGAGCCGGTGTTCTGCATGAATGCTGAAATTTACTTTCCCAATGTCGGTACGACAGTGTTGCTTTCAATGGTAATGGTCCTCTTCCTGATGGTTCTGTTGTGTTCATTATGAACGGATCAAGTCCAGGCGACCTTCATATTTCCATTTAAGTCAGCTGACCTACCTGTCGAGTTTGAAGACTGTACTACAGGCACTAGTCAAACTTGACTGAAAGTAAGTCAGTGTTTGTCCATGTATTGAGCGGGACCTAATCAACTGTTGGCATATTCAGTCGATCTTATTCTATCCTTTAAACTGATGCATTTCAATCCACGGAGCTAGAAAACAAAAGAAACCCAGGAAGGCACTTAGCTGCTTCAACCGTGACAGTACCTAATGCTATTTGTCGGTTGTTCTTTTCATCTAACGGAAAGTCGTTCATCACTTTTTTCTCATCATTGACAATGCTGAGCGTACCGCAGTATCGTGTTTGACTTCGCTGTCTCGATGGTTTGTCTGATACCCGCATACTCATTTTATTCCCACTATTTTTTAGATGAGCGCATTATTGCTAATGTCGTTCAAAGTTCGCGCGTAGCCGGTCAGGTTTTCCGGCTGTCCACCACTTCAGACGTGAACATGGATGGTAGTACCTCTCCTCCACCACCTTCTGCCCCTTTCACCCTAACTACCGTCCAGCACACGGAGCACGAAACTTCGCTACTTGGACTGACCAGCAGTTTTGCGCATCAACCTCCCACGCAATCACGGCGAAACAACACACTTCTCAACATGGATTCCATGGTCGACCATCATCAGTTCTCACAGTTGACTGCGCCATCTGGTACACAACTAACGGTTGGTCGGCATCAACCAGGCTACGATATTTATCCGGGGTTGCATAATCACGCTGGTGGACAGTTTTTCCGAATGACGAAACGCACCCAACTCCTGTTCCCACAGGTGGACCGTAAGGTAATCTTCGAAATGGAAATCCAGCGACTATAATTACCAGCCGGTTTTTTCATTTTGGTCTTTCGTTAGAGGAAACGGAACAGCTTTCGTAGCGTTATCTGGTGAGATGTCAGATACCACATATGTGGTTCGCCCCAGTCATATCCTGCTCGTATCGAATCACCTCTTATCGGGAGGAACATTGTTTTATGCGATGAATGCAGTGTGATGCAAACCGAGGGATGAAAACGTTTGATGCGAAAGAAGGAAATGGAGGTGTTGATGAAAAAATGGGTACTGTTCCCCTTCTGGAGTTAGGACTACGTGATCTCCGTTATATGTGACTGGTAATCGATAACGTTCGTGCTATCCTATTCGTTCCAGATTGTCAGAATGTATGCTTGGAGTTGTAGGAATGTCGGTCATCTGAGAAGTTAACATTAGGCCTCTTCTTTTTTTATTGTCATTGATATGACGCCAATATACTCATGCTTGTGTTGTCGGCGGGTGTTCCCTTTATTCGACAGCGCTTCGCCCGAACTTTGGAATGTGGGTCTTGTGTGATTTTGATGAGGTAGGCAGCGCCTTTAAAGTTCGAACCTCTTCATCATTTAGGCCAGCTGACTCTACAAAAGCAAGCTTTATGATTTTGTCATTGCGATGCCACTGTAACTGCATGATAATGGTTAAGGTTTTGTGGGGTTTCCTGCAACACCTTTTTACGCTTTCCTCATCTGTTGTTCTTTTTTTACTTACCTGGCGAAAATAAAATGTCTTGATTCTACAGATTCATTGGGATGAATACGGTGGCCACGTGGATAGAGATTTGTTCAACTCCGAGGATAAACTCGACTCGAATACGTGCACTGAACTGAAACAAAAAAGTAAGCAATGATAATATGTTTTGATCAGGTATCATCGCCTGTGTTTTGACCGGAAGGTCCGTGGTTTGAACCTGACCTCTACCTCTCGACTTCTCCTGTCTAGGTGTGGGAAACCCGGCAGTATCCCAGCCCTCGTGCTTCCTTCGGGTAGCTTGGTAGTTTGGCACCGAAAGGGTGCTACAGCTGAACGTTATTGTTTAAAAAAACGAATGCTTTCGGTATATTCTCAGTGATTAGACGTCCAGCCTTGCTTGAAATCCCTGATGTCTACTGAGTTGTATTTCCAGGCACGTACATCGCATCGAACTTCCCTAGCAGCAGCCTGATAAACTGTCACCGGCTATCACGATGTGAACTACTTTTGTGTCGACAGTTTATTTTCAGCTTCTTCTGTACGAAGCATTGGTTGGACGTTCTGTTTTTCTTCATTTTGTTAGGCCTTCTTGGGCGGAAGACTAAACTTCCTCGTATATAATAGTCCTTATGGTGGAGACCAAACCAATTTATATGGGATGGGGTGGGTTGAGTCCATCATGATCATGTTCATCGTATCACCGTAAGCATCGGACACAGCAAAATCAATGTTGACACTGGTGCTTCATTGCAGTACAACCTTACAAAGTTTATCTCATTATATTTAAAGCCTTAGGGAGTGAGGAGGAGAAAGTGGGTAAGGGAGGGGATTCGATGCTGTTCCATTACAAGCATTCTGAGGTGCGTACACCTCCAAGAGCTCAGTCAGAAAATCTGCGAAGAAACTGACAGCACGAACGCTACTGACATCGGTTAGTTGCCGTTTCTTGCTATATCCTCAGCCAGATGCAGGGAGGATTCAGGGTTTAACCCAGCATGACGATGTAGGAGGTCATTTGCCTCGTTGTTTGAATCAATCAACTCCTGAAGTAGTTTTGGTACCACGAAGTTTCGTTACATGATTTCAGACCAGAAGATCAGCCAACCGATATTGGAAGACACTACCCCATCAAGTCTCATCTCGCCATCGATATTGGAATGTTTGGCCTCCAGAAATTTCCAGTTTGATGACCCGGAAACCAAGACCCATGTGATTACCCATCAGCTAGAAATCCCACTGCGGTGTGAACTTTTGTTTTTAGATTATGAGGTGAGTGGTCTTGTGCGCGCAACAGGTTTTCTCACATTCGAATATTGTTTGTTTTCCAGCTAACCTTCCAGCATACCATTCTCCCATGAAAGGGATGAGTTTAGCAGGCCTGTATATTTCTACCATAGCATAACTTTGATGTGCAAAGAAACCTCGTAGAATGCGGTGTGAAATGTCTTGTGAAGGGAATCAGCCTACCAAAATGAAGCCCATTTTTGATATCTATCATAAGTAGTCACATTCTTTGTTCGCAGTTTCTTGGGTGGTTATTATGGACTGTCTGCATCTACCCAAATGGGACTGCGCATGACCAGCGGAGCAAAGTGAAAACGCGCTGCCGGTCGGGTTAGGTTGATCGATCCGAGCATGTTGACCTGGGAAACAATTAATCGAGGAAGTTTCCCGCTGTTACTTTGCCTTGGATCGTAGATCTAGTCAGCGTTGCACAATCAACAAAGGTTCACCGAGCATAATGCGCGGAGCCTGGTATTGCTTTCGAATTAGCGATGAACTGAATGGGTGGTTTATGCACGACGGTGTCGTTATGTATCGTTCTGTGGTTTGTGATTTCATTGCCCCGATAGCGCGTGCATCCGATGCAGTGGCGTGTTTAGCCAGCAGAACGCCACTTGGCGAAGCATTTCGGACCATCGTAACCTTTGCTTTGGTTGATGCTGGGCGTTCAAATCTCGGAACACCGGTTGTATACATATGTGCGTTCAGCGATGTCGCTGGGCTATCTGCTACTGGAAAGAACATTCTTTATTGCAGCGTTTGTAATGATTGTTCATCTGGGAGGGTCGTCCGGTTGTCGTAACATCGTTTGGCTGATGCATGAGCTACGTACAGCTCCCGCACACTGCCCAGTTAACGCTCCTGCTATATTCAGTCACTAACTTTATTAAGTCACTCATTCGTCTACTAGTTAGCGTGACGATGCTGTAATTACCAGTCAAACTTATCACCAACATTCTGTCAATAGTGGCATTACCTCGGTGAAAGACTGAAAATCTGACTCACTGTGGTCAGGAGCGACTTTGCACAAATTAATATCCACGGAGTCTACTTGAGCCGACAGTGGATGGCAATTGTGTAAGTCTGACAGCCGGTTGCCGTGCTCGGATAGCATGTGTCTGAGACATCAATCAAGCTGATTAGTCCTGTTTGAAACTAAAGAGTGTGACATGAACGGGATATTTGATGGCGATCCAAGTGAATCCGCCATTTTTAATTTTTCAGCGAAATGTAGTCTTAGGGTTCGATCTAGCTGGTATTCAACACAGAAGTAAATTCCTTCGTGGGCAATATTACGCCTAAGGTATCGGAGTTGGCTGATATCGCTGAGTATTTACGGAACCCGAATTTCTGGGAAAACCTTGGTAGTAAAATGTGTGGTTGGAAGTTTTAAACGGCAATCACGTAATCTTGAGGACTTAACGCAGCTGTTTGACTTACTGGGAAAGATCACTTCGAACAGTCTATCTCAGTGAGGTTTCTCGAAGTCACGATGCGCAACACACCCCCTCCTTCAGATGGACGGTGAGACGAACGACCCTGAAAGCAGTATTTGTTGGCGGGGACCACTGCATTTGTTATCTTCGTAGTTCACTTGGTCATCTGTAGCATACTGGACGAATCTTTTTTTTTTCAGGGTCGTTCTGATGGGGAAGCAATGAAACGCATTGTGGTCGGACTGCGCCCACAGGAGTTAATTTTGGTGGGAAATAGTCGGGCGGACACAGAACAGTTGGCTGTTTACTGTCGCACTGTCATGCTTCTTGCATCCAATTTGGTGCACATTCCCAGTGCCTGCAGTGTCATCAATTGCACGAAGGAAGGGGATATTTATCAGGTTAGTTGATCAAAACTGCTCATTTACGTTTCAAATTCCGAAGTATCTCGCATTGTCTCGGGCATCAGTCAGAAACCACATTTCTTAATCTTAAGATGTGATCTCATGAACCCTTGCATATCTTGCCGAACACAACACCAGCCAGTTCGACAGTGGTGATTCTGCTACTACGGTACCACGGGAGCCATGTCAGGATGCAGCTCGTTATTTAAAACTTTGAAGTATTCGAACGAACTATGTAATGCTGTTGTGGTTCTGGGATCCTCGAAACTATGAACTAGATTTTTCCCTAATGACCCATCAGGTTTTTTAATGCTCTTAGCCACCAGGACTACAACTCTGGGTTTTCATCCGTGGACACATAAACGAAGACGAACAACGGATGGTGGTAAACTCGTGCCTGAAGTAGAGAATGTAGACTATGAGTTGCTGTAGGAACGCCGTTAAGGTCGTGTAATTCGGTCGACTCGAGTCACTAATTTAGAAAATATTAACATACCCACCACACACATACAACTTTAACTAGCTTCCCCCCTGCAGTCAGTCTCATAGATCAACCGGACGTGTCGGTTGAATGCGTTTAGATTAATATTCACAAGCATTTTTATCACTTATTTTTGTACCCGGTTACTAGTGCCATCACCTCCAAGCACTCAAGCATTCAAAACTGAACTTACTCGTTTGAGCGTCCGCTCATTTTCCGACATCGCTTAGTCTCATCCAGTATCTTGTTGCTGATGTGTGCACCTGGTTGTTTTAATTGTACTCGATTGTCCTGACAATCAATGGAAGGTCATGTACATACCGATTCAGTTCCATTGTATCAACCCACTGGAGTCTCCCCTATACACCAGCAGTAATAGGCATCCATGCGGTCACGAATCAGTTGTATTCCTCGACATTCACTGCCGATGTACAATGGGCACAATTTCATCGTAGGTATCTGAAGGGGGTCACATTTTAGGCCTAACGCTCACTTACGTAATTCGAGGTCATGTCGGTAAAAGTCTTACGCAGTTTAGCCGCTTAGGCTGGAACCAAAGTTTTAGAATTGACTACAGTTCGTCCTCAAAGTGGCCGTCTTGCTTTACCACCACTATAATGCCGCGCTTCTCTGTATACGCGTTGAACGATGTGGAGCCATTGGATATAATTAGTGGCTAGTAATCTGGTTTTTATGAGATCACCCATGAATAACTCCACATACATTGGGGATAGGATGCAGAAGTAAACTGAATAGTCACGGTTGAATTCTGTAATAGCATGTAATAACACATGATTTCCATTGTTTTTTTCCCCGGCCTTTGTGAAGTCGGACACTAGTGCGGAACGTCTGCCAGCTTGAGCTTCTTAGCTTCTCGGAATACTGGTAACATTTGGTAACATTTGTGACATCGAGAATACCTCCCAGTAGGATGACTGAATTAGTTATACCTTCTCACATTGAGCATCCTATTTGTCCTTAGAGGGGAGACAAGTGTTCATTATTATCTCCGGGACTTATTTTTATACAATCTGGATCCTTTTGCTTAAATGTACTTCACGTATCCTTGGAAACCTTTCCTTCAGCGTTAATGTACTTCATTTTTGGCTTCACAGGCTAGAATGAAGGACAGTCTAGTATCAAGTTTGCGCTTTACCAAAATACGGGACTACGAACTCGCCTGGGTGGAAGCCAACATCGACTTGACCGATAACGCTCCTGCGGATCCAGATCATTCTGAATCTGCATCAGACAACCTAAATTTGCCTAATGCAAGTGGTGACGATAATCCACCATCACCCCTCAAAACCCGATCATCTTTAGCTGCAGACCGACTTCCGGTGCTTGGCTTACCTACAGGTCCTGTCGGAGCCCACAAGACTGTGTTTGTCAACGAACCGAAACTGTCAGATGTAAGTTGTATGTATAGGTTGTCTGTTGTCTTGCTAGTTCTTCGAAAGCTACCCTGGAGGGGCCGTCATCAAGCACTTTCATGGTTCGTCCAGTCATACAAATGTATGAACTCCCACTTTTCCTTTTTCATGCACCTCGTCACCCCTTGAATAACGTTTGTTAAACATTCAGCACAGATATCGTCGAGTGCTTATTCTGTCTTTCAGCTCAAACAACTTCTCCTTGCCAATGGTTTGGTCGCAGAATTCGTCAGTGGTGTGTTGGTGGTAGACAACTGCGTCGCAATCAAACGTTCTGAGGCTGGAAAGCTTCTGTTAGAAGGTCTCCTATCGCGAACCTATTTCACGGTTCGGCAAGTCCTCTACCAGCAGTTCGCAATTCTGTGAATAACATCCAGTAATGTTGTGTGTGACGATAACTCTGGATTTATTCCATCCTATTTGTACAGCATCCTGAACGCTCCCATCGAAAAATACAATTTTCTTTTTGATTTCTTTTTTTTTCGTCCACCAAGCCGGTTATCTTACCGATGTTTTCATGGTAAGTGTCAGAGTTAGTATATATTTGACATCACCTACGCATATCGCTAGGAACGGTCCGTCTGACGGTTTTTTGACGGCAATGACCGAGTGTTTATTCTGCATATGACTTGTGTAGTTTTGGAGTCAATTAGTGGACTGTTCGTGTTGCCTGAGGGTGGCTGGTGGCAATGCGCTGTTGTATGGATTCTGTGTCCCCTCTTCTCTTCATGAGAATACGCCATTTCAATTCAGGCCATTCACCCGTATCTCCTTACAGTTTTCTTACATTAAGGTAACAAGGCACCAGTCACCCCTTATTTCATATATGAAATAAGTGAATATTAAAATCTAAACTATCACCCCCAGGAGGCGCTCTTCTTAACAGAAGTCGCTCTTTGAGAGCACGTAACACACTTCTCTGAAGTGCATGGTTCTGTGCGCAATCCCTCCAAAGAAAGACCACCCTGTGGAGAATTTCATGAGTTCTTCTCAAAACCACGACCGAAATGGGCTCTTTTGTGAATTTTCCTCTCCTGAAGAGTGTTCTTGATTGAATTGCGCCTCACTGACCAACTACAATAGTATTTTTTAATGTTGATCTCTCTAGAGATTGACGACTACACAACCATAACTTTAGAAGCTAGATCCGTCATATCACGGGACTTAATACTGGAATATCGCTTGGTGATGCCACATCACTACCGTCGCCTGTCAAGTATCGCAGGTAACTATAATTAGCAGGTTTATACAAACCTCGGGATGGAGCTTCTATCACCGGAAAGAACAGTACACTAGGATGGCAATATTTATGTTGTATTGGCGCACAACCTTGGCGTCTACCACGATGATAGTTTTCTTGAAGGTTGTGTTTATAATTAATTAATTAATTAATTAATTAATTATATTGCTGGTGTCACATAGGAGGGTCACAACAGCAGTGTCCTAGCTTCAGTGTATCTTTATTGTTATAAGAAATATGAGATACACGCGCCTGTACGGTGTTCTTCCCAGATGGGGCGCCATCCTTTTGAGTGCTCTTTGTTCTTGGAAATACCGTTCATTACTTGACCGCATTCCAAGTAATTTTTGCGCATTTTTAGTTACCCCCACGGAGCTCGAGTTGGTTCGATCTTTTGAAACGGAATTTCTGTCCGTTCGCTCTCGTTTCTTCACGCTAAACAATGAATTGCACGGTTGATGGTATTACCGAAGAGGTGTATCGGCTTGTTTCGAAGCTGCAAAAACGTGAATCGGGTTTAGATGCTTTACGAGACTCGATCCTGGAAATTCAGGCGCCGTTTGCGGGCCAGCATCGAGTAAGTTTTGTTCAATTACGGAGACTTCAGTCTTACCCTCCATATATATTACTTCTGGTTGTCTACATGTAGTCTGATGAGCAGCTTGTTCCAAGTATAGCAATATGGGCCCAAGCAGCCAATGCACCGACGGCTGAAAATGTGGTTCTCTTTCTCCATGTGATTTTTAGTTTTTTAATTGTTTTTTTTTAAAACTGATTCGGATTCGATGGCGTAGCAAATTTAGTCTCATCTTAGTCTCCTTTCTCATGATAGCTGAGCAGTACCGTAGGCGTTTTCTTCTGATTGGACTTCCACCGACCTTGGACTTACAGCTGCTTCCATGATGGAAATTCATTTAGTTCTATACGCACTTTGGTACTTCCTAGTGTATTTATTGAGCCCCGACAGAAGTCATATCATGTCACGAACGTGATATCATACGTCTATCATTACTTTTCCTCCAAACAGTGTCAAGAGGACTCGCTGACGTTTGAGGAACTATCCAAACGCGTTGAAAATCACCCCAGGGGCTGGCTGATTTTGTGTTTGGCCGCTGAAAACAAGGAATTAGAACAACTTCAGGTGGAAAACAGGACATTGCTTGACTCGCTGGATAAACATCAGTCCGCGCTGGATTTGATCATGAAAAAGTATCGGTTGCAAGTAAGTTGTATTGGCTTCGCGTTGCATTGAGTTTCGTTTTTTTAAGATGCCTGTGCATGGTTACACGTAACATCTCAACAAAGCCTTTGCTGTCAAATAAAGTCGTAAATAGTGATAAACGTGTGGTAATTAGAAGAAATATTTGAGCTAGAGTTGTTGACTAATCCCATAGTTTGGCAACTTCAGGCTGCGTTTTCTGCGCCCTCCTCATTTTGTCCTGCTTTTATGCGAGATGTCAGTCAACTTCTCATCAAGGATAGTTATTCAGAACATCACCTATTATGACTGTCATTGTTTTGTTTGGGGGGTTGTGTGCGTATAAATGTGGTATTACCAATAGTGTGTTTATTCCTCTTTAGGACGTTCACGTGCACGACAGAATTGTTTCCTAACAACCAATGTTTTTCACATATCTTTCTAGGGTTGTTGCAGGGCTTTTGGTAGAAGGGAGAGGCGTTCTGTTACTGTCAGTCGTTGCATTCCCGAAAGGATTTCGCACTTGTTGGCAAAATATTCTCATGTCACCTATGATGAGATCAATTTTTTTGCACACTCAGACATTCGCTAACCTGCCCTGAGATCAGGTTCCGTGGATCGAAGGCAATCTTTTTGATGTGATTCAACTAATACCAGTTGTTTAAACCCAAATAACAGCAGTACCTTTCCTCGCTGCTTTTATAATTGCAAGTAATGATTTCTTTATCAGTGACCCAGTGTTCATGTTTTTGATCTTTTATCCTCGAACCACGTGCGCTTCAGTGAATCATGAAGGGATGTCACTTCCTCCAATAGATGAAGGTCACTTGAATCTCTAACAAATTCTCATCATTGTAGTGATAAGCAAACATCAGGACAACACCTGCCGTTTAATCGCTCCAAATAAAATGTAGGAAAAATGCACTACTGGAATGCGAAAACGGGAGTGTAATTTATTAACCAGTCGCAACAAATAGGCCATCAACTTTGCAAATGGCGGTCTGTATGGCTTTACGTCATGGTAAGTAAAGTTTGTACTATATTCCTAATTCTCCTCGTCAAATCTTTGCCGTTTCTCGGTAGTTGATTCTAGATATCCGGGAACCATCTGATAGGTAGACACATCGGTGACCGCAAGTCTGTAACACTTAAAGGAACTTTATTTGGTTTGGATGAAATAACTTAATATTATTTTAGCTCGCATGCTAATTGCCAAGCTGGACGAACAGAGCAACTGCCAACTGACCCAGAACGTATTAATTTACTCGAACCACCAATAGTTTGGCATTTTACCTACTAGTTGATGCTGATAACAGCCTTATCAACGTTTACTTTGGGAGGCTTCGTAATCTGTATGGACATTCTGAGTTGCGTTGGTTATCGCCGTTACCTGTCGATGCGATCAACGGTTACGAATGATGTCTACGATGCTCACTGTGGAATTAGGACAATTTTGATATCGTACATCCTTGGCTGTCGTTAGACTGGGGAAGTGTGAAAGTACCACGCCGTCAAAACATCAAGGTATTGCTAATGTCTACCGATTACTAGCACCCAGTTCAGACCTCCAAACCCTATTAGATGCATTCAAGCGAATATTTGTGATCAAATTTCAAGTAACGTCAACATTTTCGGAGACCACAATGACAAGGGATTAGCAAGCCAACACCGTAAGCATGTTATGCTCTGACCTTCCAAAGTCCCACAATAGTGTGAATTCTAATGTGCCTCTCTTTCATTCATATTCGATTATCACGCTTAAAAACACTATAGATTTCTTACATTTTTATCCAAAGTTTTTCGACCTTGTACTTCCATTTGACAAGCAGGTTTACCTGTTTGGAAAGCCCATCCAATTTTCCTGATCCTCATTCGGAAAGCTGATGTTGTAGTAGCTAATGTTGTTGGATGGATGGTTGACAGGGTTGATGCTACACTGGCAAAGCAAAGTGCGCATCTGACCCACTGCTAATCAGAATGATGCAGTTGAGAGCACACTCACATTCACGCAATTTAAGTGAGGTTAATCGCGCACGCTCATTGTCTCTGCTTTGATACAAGCTTTCCACTGACAGGCAATTGTATTCGTTGTTATAGTGAGCGCTAGTCAGCAAGGTACCTATCCAGTAGTCAATTGGTCTGTTTTCTAGCTTGAACATATGCGTCAACGCTTGACCCAGCGGACATGTGCTACTTCATTTTGGTAACCTTAGTTTACCTGCACAGTTAGTATCTCTGATTCACGTTCGACGCTTGAGTGACATTCAGGTTCATTGAGGTAATACAGTTCAACCGGCTTGATTGTGTAGCAACGACTACAGTACTTTCATGCGAGTGTCCTACCCGTTCCACACTCGAAGAGGAAAACTTTTGAACTTCATCCTTCTTTATTTCTCATGATGAGAACTAATAAACACAGTGTGAGAGTGGCAGGATTGATTGTCCTGCTTCTAAAGTTGTCATTGCTGCTCTTGAAGTTATACTTCTTACAGTTGAAAATGAAATTGTATACTGAAGGAAGGCAATCCAACTGGAATCCATTGGGGTCCCTTTACGTGCAAGCCCTCATCAAGTAATAAAAGAAACAATCCTCAATCACTGTTTACTGCGCTCACAGTCTCCTTTTCGCATTCCATCTAAGGCCGAGTGCTTCGGCCTCATTGCATAAGGACAGGGTTCATGATTATGAAATTGAGCTGGGCTGAGTTAAACTAAACGCGTTGGTGCTTTGCGAAGGTGATCTCTTCTTGTATGTTTCCCTTGGGAGTAACTGTAGCTTAGTTGACCTCATGCCCCCCTCGAATGGCATAAGAGTATTACGATACGGTACTCTGATAAGGAGACCAGAAGTGCGCAAACTTATTCGTATGCTGTTATTTCTTCGGTTCATCAGAAAACTTCGGTCAACGAGACTGTAGTATCTTTGATGGCTCATTCATCTAGGAGAGCGAAGGGATAGGAAAAAATTATTACTAAAAAAAGACTCAAAAAGACTATTTGGCAGCAACACTACAAAAGAACGAAAAATCTCTTGGGGTTATTGATTTCTCGTTAATTTTCTATGAGCCAGAGTAGCGTTACAGATTTTCTGTCGAGGTGCTGGGGCAAAAATTGAAACGCTCAATTTAGTTAGCCAACTGATACACTTGCGGAGCGCGACTATCCCGGGAGGGAAGTTAACAAATGTCTGGTAGGTATTTTGGGGCGTATCTTGGTGCCTGTATTCCCCTTCGATATAATGAAGCATGCAAAATGACGAACGTCAGTGTTTACGGATCAAGCATATCTAGCCGTGCGGTAGGTCTGGACAACTTACTAGGAGCCAAAATATAAAAGAACGACTTTTTGCTTCTTGTTTGGTGGACACTATTCATTTGGAGAATTAACATGCGGCGCTGAAAATTTGAATATGGGTCCTGTATTCTTACTTTTGGATGCTCGTGCTACTGTCTTTTATTTTCAATATAGTCCCATTTATCCACGATAATTTTCATACCTTACCCCGTTGTAGGTATCGCAGCTGATGCAAACAAACCGAATGGAAAAGTTAATTAGCACCAATGGATCTCGTTTGGAGAATGTTGCAAAAGGTTCAACAGGCACTTTTCATTTGAGGTCAGATGATATGTTTTCAGATGAAAGAGTGGTCCGAGCTGAACCTGTCATTAACAGAAGTCACAAAGATGACGAAGGACCCAGCACTACCGAACCAACTACCGCCATGCTAAGTGCGCGTGTATCTACTCTCGCCTCCATTGCTCGGGACGTTTGCAATAGCGGTGATTTGTACACTATTCAGTTGGAGGCCGAGTTACATCGTCTACGGTCGGAGAATGCTGGGCTACGTGAACTGCTCACGATCTCTTCGGACTTCGCCGTGGATCCGACTGATTTTATTAAGAGCGCGTCTTCGGCGGACCGCGCCGTCCCCGGTTCTTCATCGGCGCAACCTTCGCTTCGAGTTGATTTGTCTGTCTTATCACCTAATCAGAACTCATCTAACGTTGGTTTACACCATCCCTCAAAACTAACGAATTTGGTTCGTGCCTTGGATGACTTTATTCCTTATAACACTTCTCAGCGCGGGCGTTCTCCAAGTGACCTTTCCTCCGGTCGCAGCGAAGACGATAATGATTATGATGATGATGTTACTGTGGCGGATGGCAGCGAGAGTTCTGATTAGCTTTTTGCGGAGTCGATTCACACCCCTCAAGATCTAGAATGGCTTTGAACTGATGCCTCTGTTCCTTAGCCTCCGTATTTCCATTTTGGCCGACCACTGACGTCGATCATACACACCACTCCCTTGCCTCTTATGTGAGGGGCTTTTTAGAGTTATGTGCATATCTGCACGTGTCTGACAGTTGCGTCACGCGCAGCAGAACGTTTGATGGTATTGTCCTCCGTAATAATACATCGGCGGAGGAGTCTCACTTCTGTTATTCCCGATTGGGTCAATTTTCGCGACCTCTTTGCCTGCACACGCGGTTGACAGTCTTTCACCTTGTTAGCGAACCATTCACCAGGACTCCCAGTGAAATCTCTTGGCTTTTATGTTTCCCAATTCTCAGGCACCATATCGCCTTGATTGCTCACATTTTCTTGTGGAATTCGCATCATTCAGAGCTTCTTCCCTGTAACCGAATTTCATGTCGAAACGAAGTCTAAATATTTCGGTAAGATAATGAAATACATTTAAAACACCCAACGACCTCAAAACACGCGTTTGTCTACTATGGAACGGCGTATCGGGTTATATAACATTTTCGAAAAATGCAAATTGGTTTTCGTTCTCTGTTGCGTCTTTGTATGGTCCTTACTCTAGTCTTATACTGACTGCATTGGTTATCGTCCATTATCACTGACGGAGGTCAGGCTCGAAGAATTGCAATCTTGCCGTCGGATAGTTCATCCTTACCTTCTCGTTTTTTTCAGGTGCACCCTAACGATCTCCGTCATACTCGCACTCATCCATAAATAACACAACTGTCCGGCAAGCCTAAATTTTCCGTGGTGTCATGTCGTCGGAAAGCCCAACGGGTGGCAGATCTAGGACGACTGTCGGTCGTTCAAGGTATGGCCCAGAATACGTGCAACGCCAGTAGGAATTCGTTCACAGTGGATGAGTTGCGTGCGTCCAGTACGCACTTACGAGTCTTTGACAAACGCGCTCGCATTGGGTGTAGGATAACTGGTTGCAGGTTTGGGGTTCTGCGGGATAGGTATTTTGTTCATAGTCACGCCACTCTCGTTTGAACAGTCGTCCTCCTGTTCTGGCGTAATTATCCCGGTGAGTCCACACCAAAGGGAATAACTGGACTCGAGTTTCGCTCTTATTAGAGCTCATCGGCAGTGCATATCCAATGACCGTGCCGGGATTTGAACCCCGGACATCTGTAAGATAATCGGATTTCAAACCTTGATATGACTAAGGACATGCGCTTGAGCTGATTCCCAGTTGGGTTAACAGTGATTCACTGATTTAAGTAAACTAGACATGAGCTTTCCGTACTTTAAATGCGTAGGAAAAGGACCGTCGTGAGTTCATGCGTGGGATGATTGATAGATGTAGTGTAATGGCCCACGCTTATTGGCAATTTGGGTCGGTGATCAGCCCTTCCATCCTGGCTCATTGGAAGTTTTCGTTTCAACAGCGCTTCGTTTATACAAAGCTCTTTTCAAAGGCCACACAGCATACTGTCTTCGAACGGATTGACTGGATTTGACCGACCGCGCTATTTTGTCCCGGGAATAGGTCCAAGGAAGACAAACGTCCTTGAACACACTGCTTTTACAGCACTGTGTAGAGCGAGTGTCGCAATCTGGTGAGAATTATTCTCTCTTTGTGATTTTTAATAGGTCTATACCAACCGTCCATACATTACAACTACGTCTTGCACAAACAGTTGACATGTCTATCGCAACATCCACCCCTGATGTGACCAACAGAAGTGTACAAAGGTCATTCTCTGTAACAAGACGTGTGTGAGTGTACGATCACATCACTAAGGAGCAGTTCAGGGAATTTCGTACCGCGATATCATCGACGAAACACTCGTTGGGAATAATCCTACGATTTAACTGACCTTCGTGAAATTTGTCGAGAAGATTGCTGAACAGCTTCCCACTTTGAGTGAACCTGAGTTGAACGGACGTCTTAGGTCACGTTCGCTTCTTTAGCGTATGAAGGTTTTTGGATCACTAAACTATTTTATGAGAGTAGGCATTTCGTCGTTTTTATTCGGTAGTTTTTCCAGTCGTTCTAGAACCAACTACCTTCGGGGTTTAATGATCATCAGTACTATGTCTGTGTGCCTAGAAAAAAAATGCACAAACTGTACTCTTTCGATATTTTCATTCAGAACCTTTGTGTTTTTAGATATTCTTAGCCAGAACGCGTCGAGAAAGATTGACTATCGGTGTTACAAGGAATACTAAGGCTTTAGGCCGCTTTATGATATAACTTTTTGAAACGCATACACAGTATCTAGACATGTGTTTTGGCCTATTTCATCGGATGGCCTCCTGTAAATCAATTGCCTTACTGAGAGGCAGGCCCAAACAAACGTTTTCTTTTTATAGTTATGCTGTTGTCGGGTGCGATTGCTCTTCGTAAATTGCGATGAACAAGCTTATCGGCCTATCTTTCCCGACAGAATACTTCATAGATGATTCTCACCTTGGCTTTCAACGTATCTAACATGTATATACTTCGTGCGCTGCTTGCCAGGCAGGAGAATTTAAGCTTTGACATAGAGGAACCAAGCCGTCACCTTGGGGAACAATCTATCGGATATACAATTGGTCAGCCACTGTTTAAAAATGCCTTGTAGCTTAGAAGAACCCTTATGAGGTTACCGCGAAATGCTTTAGGATTCTTGAAATAAGCGTCAACTGGTTCACGGCACGGTTACCACAGAAAAGCACTTAAGCTGAGCTCATTCTTTTTTTATCCGGTGTTGCCGTAATGCTTGTCAAGTCACAAGAGATGTTTCACGTCTGAAGTACCCAACTGCACAAAGGGTGGTCAGAAAAGTCACTGAACTTTTACGCATATCTTTCCTATTGTGCCTGTAGAAAGTTACTGAGTCGCTGTACAATCTGTGCGAAGTCCGGGCGGTCTTGCGGTATACTGTTCCATGTTTCTTGCATTAGAGCTCCTCTGAAAAGGAATGAAAAGTGAGTTAGCCTAGCTGAAGAATACACAATGGATTATCAGGTGTTGATGCCTTTAAGTGAGGTGGTATCAGTGGTATCTTAAGGTGAATAAAAGCATGTTGATATCGGAGAACAAATAACCGTGTCTTCTGAGCAAGGCACTGCCAGTCGAGACGTGATCCGTTCAGACGGAATGTGTCACGTGAACCTTTTGATATGTCGCAACCAGGAGAAAGCTCAACACTGGACCAAGTGATGTGAAGTATGTGAGCGGCGAATGGGCTGGCAAATTATGCTGCTGAGGAGCCACCTTCAGCTGGATGGCAGTGTTCAAACCCCTGTGCAGATGATTATGTGCAAAAGAATCGTGATATGCGCACTGGCGAGCATTCTATGCTTTAAGAGACGTCCATTGAATTCTGTGCTATTTCATCGTCATGAGATTCGGGACTCGACGAAATTGAGCGCTAACTGAGCCGCCTTTTTCCGTTATTTCTGGTGAAACAAAACCGCATTTTTTTCAGGTTGTAGAGTGAGTGCATTGAAAACATGTGCTTAAACCTGAGTGGATAAGTGTTTCATCAAGCGGGTCGTACATCCAAACTTTTATTTGTTTTCAAAGGCTTCTCTCTAACTAGCTCGTTTACAGTACGATGCTCCGGTCAGTGCAACTTGGCTTTCAAACTGCAATAGATAGTTCACGGCGGCAGGGAGAAGCGGGCGGCGGCAAATTTTAGTGACGGTTTACCTCCTAAAGTTTGAAGAACTGCGGTGGCATAGACTTAACAAGGCGTGACACGAGTCCTGTGAAAATATTCCGTTGTCCCCGTTTTCAACAGGGAACCCCCGAGTAAGGCCGCTTCACTCCGTTCCCATGGGGATTTGATTGGAAATTAGAAACTCAAAGGCTATTCACAACAAGGACCATTTTGGGCATTCCAGAGGAGCGATTTTTCATCCGAATGAAGACCAGGACGTATGACTTATGTTCTAAGTTCTATTATAATAAGACACCAAGTGAATAGATGAGTACTCGCATTGTAGACAAATGTGTTCCCACACATGGTTGTTTTGTTATGTGAATCTTGTCTACCACATTGATCCTTCAAGAACACGGTGAAAAGAGGCTACTGTATAGCAGCGCACTTCGTCATCTATGATTAAGTAGCTAGACCGAATTCTATTTTGGTCTGAGGCGGGAAATCTGGTACTGTACATCCCAACGAAGAGTTCGGCCCGAAATGAGAAAAGCAACAAAGAGAACAACTGTGTTAATTCTACTTATTCGGGAATTTCCGTATTATTCCGTATCCCAGCGCTCACCAAATTTTTCGACTCATCACCCCTTAGTGCACAGCGTAGTGCTCCATATTTTGTATATTATACGTAGACAGTAGAACTAGGATTTTTTGGCAACGCACACATAAACACTAATGCCTTGAAAGGAGCATGAAGTTGCAAGTTAATTACAAATATCCATGACATTAAACACACTAATACTTTCAACAAAGAACATATCCCTCTAGCTAAGGCCGCTCCAATTTCGTCCTCTGAAATAAGTCATGAAACTGGTATTTCTTGAAGCACCCTCTCGTTCTTCTCCTGACGGTGACCAATTTCAGTTTCTCCATGACTCAAAACGCTGTTCTAACAACGTCCAGGATGCGAAATTCTTGCTGTGCGTTTTTATGTATTTTTAAAAGAACTAGGTGTCCGAATGTTGGCATGAAAACAGCACTGACTCTCTAGGTGAATAGGTGTCCCACAACGCACTTTTCATCTGCGTGGTACTAACCCATACAATTTTGTCAACGGAAGAATAATGCCAGAGTATACTCTAGGGTGGAGAACTCGTCGGAATAGGTGAAGACGAATGTATCCGGGTGATGAGACAATGATCAGATGTAGCAAGCTGGGCGGAGGAGTTGGTTGTACGGCCAGGTTGAGGGCCTGTCGAGAGTCACTGTCACCACCTGGGATAAAAACGGTAGTGATTTTCGTCGTTTCAGTGTAGATTGGCTTCACTTTCGGGAAGAAAATTCTACTAAAAATCTCAACTCTTAAACAACCAAACATAGACGAGGATGACGCTCAAACATGAGCGTACAGTGAACCCCTCGTCATCTTTGGGGATCAAAATAACCCGATTTGGTTGCCAAACCAACCATCTTTCTTTTCGTACGACGACCCATTAGTCCGATACAGAGTAGAAGGTAGGCAGGTTAGTGACTGACCTGTTAACTAAGTAACAGAATCTTTAAGCTCAGCGACCCTCTAGTCTATTGCACTAAACTGAACTTACTCCATAGCAAGCATTCCTAAAATACAGAGTAGATTGCATCGATTTGGAAATATTTTGAATCGTGTACAGGATGGATTAACACCTGAGTGTCACTTGAAAACTAGAAACTTTGTTTGCGGTTCGCGAATTTTTCGATTGTTTTTTGTTTCAGTTGGTGAAGGTGACGACTGCTCGAAAATGACGAGCCGCCAGGATATTAGAGCTCGTAAGCTATTCGTAAACATAACATAATAGTACGGTTTGATTTGCTGCACTTAAGCTGCAGGGTAGTCTGTATAGATTCTCATATTTTCAACAATGGATATAAGGATGAACCGAATCACCGTCATTTATCAACTGGAAACGAACTGTGGTGGTTCTAGTTGACAAATTTGTTCACTAATTAATGAATGGTTGAGAGCTTTGGTCACAAATTGCAGGTGATGGCTAAAGTCATCTTTGGCTAATACAATGCCGACGGCACACACGCACAACTAAATGATTATTGCCCCATTCGTCTGACTCGGCAATGTCAGTGTAACATACTTAAAAATGCTCGATAGAAATTATTGCTTGCCGACATGGCGCGCACGAAACTGTCTGTGAACTCGAGTGTACAATGCTTTGACCAAAAGAGCTATATAAAGATTGTTCTTCCGCAAATACTAAACTTAGGGTTATTGTGGTCCGACAACAGATGGCTGATCGGGGCTAAAGCGTTATATGTAAGGAAACTTGAACACACGTCTAAGGGAAATAAATTCACGATTCAACTAAAGTGTTTAAAATGTGTGGACAATACAGGGAGCACTAGGTGGACTGACACACCGCAGGAGAGAAGATTATCACAAACGAATTTTATGCCGTAAAGGTCAAACATTATAAGTGATCCTTCCCAACCCCACACAGATGTATATTACCCGTAATTATGAGAGTTACATCCTGATTAGAGTGACTACAATGTTGTAAACATAAATACTTCATTTTCTGCCTCCTCGTAGTCAAATTTTCGCATTATCATGATGGACACTGTAAACTATGTAGACTAGGCATATATGCCTCTTTGCTAAGTATGCACCACCTTTACGGCAGTTGGATACCATTCCACAGTTCTCGCACAGGCACTTCGATTTCTAGCAGCATTCTAACAAAAATGTTGTAAATTCGATCCCCGAATAAGTAATTTTCGATTTTTCATCTGACGATTTCAAACTCAAACGTGTCTATTTCACTTGCATTTTGGGATACTTAGCAGTCAGCCCGAAAGAAACATTCTATGTTTTAATAAGGTTCCTTTGCTTGTCTCTTTGCTGCCAAGGGCTGAAATATTATACCAGTTAGTTTTCCACAAAGTTCTGGAATCGAGTTGATTCTATGGCGTTTTCTTCCCTTATAATTTTGAATCGTTGACCGGCCTCTGTCTCTCGACTTCCCCTGTCTAGACTTGGGCAACCTGGCAGTATCCCGGCCCTCGTGCTTCCTTTGGGTGGCATGGCAGCTAGGCACCAAAAGGGTGGTACAGCTGGACGGCCATTTTCATTATCTTTTAGTGTTTCAGGGATTTAGTTAACTCTTAGCGAAGATCACTTGGATGAAATAAAATAGTCAGGCCCTTGGACGTCCAGTTTTTGGCAAATTCGGAGGTACTGTCAGTTGGGTAAAAATACCTTGAAATATCTACGAAGTGTTCTACCAAGTTCCGCGCTTGGTTGGGCATATCTCAAAGGGTGTATGTAGATGCTCGCGGCTTCACTGTTTTTACATGCTGTGCTTAAAGGTATGCACCAAGCCGCCACTCATCCGTTTACATCAAAAGGGACTCCGTTTCCCAATCAATGAAATAAACTTCAGCGTCAAAGACGGAGTCCAATTCTGTTTGTATCATGGTTAGTGCCAACGCTGGTGCCAACGGTAATGATTATGTCAACCATTAAAAGGCAGAGTATTTCAAGTGAGAAGCCACTGTTGCGCTAGAACGAATTCGGAGTGAATCCTTGTAGATGTGTTGCTCGCTGAGCCTGGCAATTTTGCTGCAAAATTGACGTCACCAATCGCGATCACATCATCATTGCTGGGTCACATGGTCACGCATTGAGTAGTAATATGCTCAGGTTTATATACATGATTCTGAAGGGGATGGTCTATGCTGATCGGCTGCACTGGACGAGTAAGCCTCTGGTTGGAGGATTTCGGACTGAAATTTGGGCTTGACCTCTTGTTTGGTCTTGCCGTCTGATCCCGTTTTCCGGATACTCAGTCATGTTTGTTTTGTTCGATTCAATTCACAGTCTTTTTCTCGTAGAGGTTGACTGTTTTCACTGATTGAATTCATTGTGATTTATCACCCTTCCGGAAATTCCTCTAGTGTTTCGTAGCTCCTCAGGCCACCACTTTTACGTCGTCCATATTGAAATGGTGACCTCTCTTTTCAATGACGACAATCAGCTAGAACTACGGCCACCTTTATTCGTCTTTCCGTGTAGATAACTTTATTGGTTTGTCAAATCTAATGGTTTTTGCATTCAGTACCTTCTGTCTGGTAGACAATATTTTGGTTGCCCTGAATAACATGGTCTCTTGGCGACACCAGGCTCGGGCTACTTAAATTCCATATGGTTGCAGTATTCTTGATCTCAGTTCAGATACAGGGAGAATCATTCGTTCGTTTGCTCTACCGGCTGTTGCTGAGATATATTTTTCTTCAAGTATCTTCTGATAAAGTTAACCAAGAACCGCTATTTTTTGTAATAATCTATTTAGACGACCTTTTCTTTCCTTCTATGTATCGTTGCGCTGGAATCGGCGTCCGTCTAAATAGGGTCGGTCAACCCGAAGTTCTGGATCCCATATGTCGATGATTCATCTGTTATCACCAAACGAAATTCAGTGGGAAAGACACACGAGCTGCTTAGCTGAATTTTTGTGGATATCAATCGAACTAGGGAAAGACAACAGACCATTCCTGAACACATTAGTTCAGAGCACAGCTGACGTAAACAGATAAACTACTGAACTGATCCACGGAATATTTGCATTCAAGGTCTATTTGGAGNGGAAAGAAAGAAAACAGACCATTCCTGAACACATTAGTTCAGAGCACAGCTGACGTAAACAGATAAACTACTGAACTGATCCACGGAATATTTGCATTCAAGGTCTATTTGGAGGCAGAGGAAGAGGCTGCGCTGAGGCAACCAATCATGAACGAGCGTCCCCTCCTTCCGCACACCACTACTCAACGCAAAACCACCGTAGGAGCGAATTGGTGACGAACTGTGTCATTATGTCTTAATGTGTACATATTCCGGGTTTGTGGCTTCTCAAGTTTCTCGTCAGCTGTTTGTGACAAAAGCTCACGATGTGATAGATCCAGGGAGAGACATCATTTTGGCCCAAATACTGAACTTCACTAATCCAGAACATAATGTTCTTTGGTCACATTCCTCATGGATACTTGCTGTAAAGCCTCTGACCTAATGGGTGTGAATAAGGATAATCCAGGAGTTTGAGTGGAAAGGCAGACGGTTGAACAACGATACAAAAGGGATGTAGAAGGGACATAAATGTTGATTTTATGAAGAAGTTTGGGTTTTTGCACACGACACATGTCACACGAGTGGTCCTAATACGGAGATATTTCACAATGAAAAAAATTAATTTGGGTACTTGGGAGTAGTGCGGTAAGACAAATCAAATTAGTCCGATAGCCCATCATCGGTTTCGTTCGGGGCTCAGTGGGAGGGTGCAGTGGCTAGATTCCAATCAGTCAACAGACTAGCGGGTAAATTTTGCCAATAAAACTAGACATTTTCCAAATGGACTGGTTCGCCGAGAATCTAGGCTTAGCAGACAGAAAATTTTCAGTTTACTACATTCTCTGTTTTTAACTAGGCCTCAATGCTCATTCTTAAAGTGCTTCAGGAGTGATTGTTCTCATAATTAGGTCACTTTGTGAGGTAAGCGAAATCGTTTGAAAACAGCATATTGTGGGAAACTCACATATACTGAGGACACAGTGGTGGTTTGGACATCCGGTATCCGTGCTGGACAATGTTTCGCACCTGTTCGAGAGTGAAATGTGTATACGGAGTACCACCCAGGGTGTAGATTTCCCACAACAACACGCCGTAAGACCATCTGAAGAGTGAACCAACAGACAGAGAAATTATCAGGAATTTGTCTGCACATGCCTTTCCAACCTTTGAGCATCAAAGTCAATCAGGCAGCCTAAGAGAAAATTTGAACCCGGAATGCAGAAACAACACGGAAAGATTCCGGTTTAAGAATTAAGAAAATACCTTATAATATTGGGAACAAATTCCGCGCTTGGTTAGAAGTGGTCCACTTTAGTTGGAAACAAACTACATAGCAGAGTGAATAGATAGGCCACAGAGTTTCATCCAAACTCTATCAAACCTGCCGATGAACTTGATCTTTTATAAGAAGGGGCTTACAATCCACAAAGTTGACACCACTGGTTAGGTTCACATTCTTATTTCAAGGGGAAAACTGACCATTCACTTGCATTAGAGTTGGCCATGAATGGAGCCCGGGACCGGTGTCTTGGGTTCGCCGGAAGTTTGAACAACAATGCTCATTAATTTGTATGTCCACTTTACAACACAAGCTATGCGCTTGTGAAGTTATTTCTTCACATGTCTTAGTAAAAAATCGTTGTTCTATTTTCTTCATCATTTGATCAACTTAATACTATGGTTAGGCTAACAAAGCATTGTTACGGTAACTTCAAATATTTTGGTTCATACAGTTAAATGATGTGGTTTAATTCCATTCGAAGAAGAGCGAATTAGGCGCATCAAGGATCCTAGTAACAACAAACCTTGTGATCCACCACGTATCCGATGGATCCCACTTGATTGCTCCAAGCAGTTAATTAACCACAATGAATCAGGCAGAATGGAACAGTCTGATCGGTACCCGTGTGGAAAGAGGGTGGGTACTCTTAATTTGTTAGGCTCTTCTGGATTTTCAATCGTACCGAGGCAGAATAGTTGCCATGTACGAAAGCAGCGAATTGGAATTGGTTAAGATGCTACTAGCGAGCTGACATGTTAAAGGTTTGCCGTGTCACACGCCTGCACCCTAACAGAATAACGAAACGTTGGGAGTTGCGGCAAACCTCCATGTAGCGAGTGGCAGACTAACTACAGGTGGCTGCAGGAGTTGCTGGATTTGTGTAACTTGATTGAATGTTTCTGATTACTGATAGCGTTAAGAGATCTGGTAGGTTTTGACAGACTTTTAACTCTCCAACTAAAACCAATGCGTGCTAAAAAAAACAAGATGAACTGCGCAGATGTTTTGCTTTCATTGGGAATCATAAACAGGACGTATCAGAAAAAATCAAGGAGTAGGAATCGGTGATCTTCCGGTCAGTGGTTGCACACTTACTTTCCAAACAATGGTTAGCTGATCTCACTGAGATGAAATAGAGAGCTGCTGATTTTTCAATAACGCAGTATGCATTTAGTCTTCATTAATTCACTTACTCCTGAATCGACGATCAAGAGATAAGAATTTCAATTAGGAAATTATTCTTTCTCTGAGCTACTTATCGACTATCGGTAGTGTGAGGAGACTGTGAATTTTATTTTGAGATTTCGTCGTGTAAGTGTAGCCAATATGTGCTGAAAAACCGGAACTGTGTGTGTACCTATTTCCTGAGGCTTGCACTGCTGACAATTCCCGATGGAGATGAAATAACTGTGCAATTCTTCTTGACCTTTCGGCATACCATCTCAACTTACAGGACGTTTTCTCAATTAAAATGTGTGATCATGTTTTAATGTTATAACTACTGACGATGGCACAACCTAAAGTGAGGGCATGAAACAATAATCCAGCTTTCACTAGAGAGCACCAGCAGTTTACGTCATTGACGACATCAGGATTCAGGCCTGTGCCTACATAGCATACAAACCTAATGCGGTTACCACTAGCACACTAGTGCACGCTGGGTGCTCTTGTGTTAATCTGTCCGAATTTGTGAATGTGTTTGAGCATGACCGATGAACCCAGTCTGATCGTCTGCTCTCAACCTGACACGATAACTAACTTAGCTATGCTCATTTTATTTTGCATGTGCTTCAAGACAATTTATGTTAGACTGGTAATATGCTGGTCTAAATTGACTACTAATTCCTCCCTTTCATCGAGCCTCCGGGTATGTACCCGATTAATTCCTAAGATACTGAATATTTATCTTGAGGCTTAACAAAGTAAAATAGCAGAAAAATTAAAGAAACCATATCCAAAAAGCTCCGAAAAATGAACCATAAAACGCTGCAAAAAATCAATGCATCAATCAAGTAAATTGTTCAGGGAAAAGAAAGCTCAGTTCTATTTGACATTTAAAACTGGATAATCCATAAAGCTTCGATAGTTGAAGAGAAAATACACGAAGAATAAAGATTAGCTGACTGCCTCTTTCCTCTACGATGTATCGTATAAGTACTTTGTTCTCGCAGGTACGACTGACGGCAACCTTCATAAAACTGTAAATAACTGTCTTTGTCTTTTTCATGAGTGAAAATTATTGAAGTATCAACTCAAGAAATCATTATTCTTGAGTTTTTAAACCACATTCCTGTAGGAGCATGTCATCAAAAACTGCTAGCTAGGGTAAACGAATGCCTGTTTACACAATTAAGAACTTGTTTGCTATTAATTGTTTAGTTTAACCACCATGGCCCACCAATATCGGACAGTCAGACAAAAAGTTATTGATCGACTCCAATTTTGAATGGAACGAGCGGCTGTATTAAAGTGATCAGCTGACCTACATAAACAGCTGTCTGGCGGACCTAATTTACCCCAATTGCTCCGAGTTTCTGTGTTGTGCTTCACACACGCCCGTCGCGTCTCCGTTTGTGTTCGAATCTGCATTAGCCTTCTGGTTCTGGATCTGATTCGTCCTCACAACCCACTTGTGAGCGTACTGTCGTATCACATCAAGGCACGGCCAGTCTATGGTTGTTAATATCATCCGATAGACCAGCAAATTATCCCTGCTAAAAATGCGAACATCACTTCAGACTAAACAATAGTCAATCATGCGATCCAGCGTGCCGAAAAAATCCCCTCATGATAAATGAGTTTTGCTAATAAGATGGCTCGTTATAAGACACCGTAAGACTATTTTTTTGTTTTTGGGTTCCATTGTAACCGCGCGTTTGTTAGCCATAAGTATGGCTGACAAAACAAGCTCTTTGGTAATCCCTGTGATCAGATTCTTTACAGATTACCAGTGCAAGTAGGAAGGTTCGAGGTTTATTCTCGGAAAAGCATTCTGGAGAAAGCATTGTACCAAACAATACGTACAGAGACTCAAATATTTCTGACGCGTGGTAGGTAGTGTGCATATATGTTCATCCAATTTGTTCATCTATACGTATGTGCGCTCACGAGATGTTTACGGATTTCATTTCAGCGAAAATGTGGAGAATCAATCTAACAGTTTGGCTTTTCAAATTAGCCCAAAAGACCAACAGAACCATTTGAAAGTCGAGATTGTTGCAATGAAACTGCACACAACTCACACGTCCGACTTTTTGGAGAACCGTCTGCTCTCCAAAACCTCCGGAGCAAGCCATTTCATTGGAAGTGCACCCTTGACGCAAGTGTAGAAAGAGAATGTAACGAAAGCGCGTAGAGTGGGTAAGCTAAATTTTTTCTCTACAGCAAGAGATCAAGGCATAGTTACAACGCCGGCTTTTGCATGGTATTTCCGCGGCATAAAACGGGTGGTCTGTAACGGCAAGTTGATGTTCTTGTGTTAAAAAGGGCAGAACTGGGGCGGTATATGTCGTTAGGTCTACCACATCGCACCAGTCTACTTCACTCGACCCTGGAGGAATAAAATATTTCCTCTAGCTAACTATCCCCACGTTGTTAGAATACCCTAGAAACCTTAAGTTGACGCAGACTCATTCGCCCCATACGTCTCCAGAAGAAATTCAGACCTAGATAGTAACAATTTCCGTTAGGTAGATAGCCATAAAAAAATTTGACTAACTCAGACACCAACCGACTGATACTAAGGTGCACATTGTTTCTTCCGTTTTTATATCACTGTTAAGTATACATTTCAGATTATATTTCAAAGTCAGCGCGGATTCAAACAAACTTTTCCACTGTTATGAATGCAATTCTATCATTCTTGTGAAAGCCCAACCCGGATGACAATATGCTGTAGGCCTTCTTCAGGATTAAAAATTCGGCTTGATGCTGAAATATCAACACACCCATTGCGAATCTCACGACTGCACTCGGATATCAATTAAATTGTAGCCCCTGCTCTCTAAAGTAGGGGGCAAACAATAGGCTCACCACTCCCAGTTGTCGAATATTCTCAAATATCGAATGTTTTTTTGAAGTTTTGTACTCAAGAAATGAGTAATGTGAACATGAATGGCGGTACTGCCCTGAGTACTGAGATTTTGACGGAACCATGAACGTTAGCATCCGCATTAGACTGAATAGCTCAAAAGAGGATGGAACTCAACAATCACTTTCTTAACTGAGGAGTACAAGTGATAGAAAGATGGACATTCAGGTTGCATTCGACCGGGAGCAAGGAAATGATGGGTAGTTTGTTGAGTTCATGATGCGATTTTCTAGTAGTGAAACAGGATTTAACTAATTCTGAACCCCTAACCCTTCGGCCAAGAGCAACTGAGCAGCAAAATAATAAGCACGCATTTGGGAGGCCACGTGGCTCAGTGGTTGGAGTGCCAATTTACTGACCGGAAGGTTCGTTGGAACCCGACCTCTGCATCTTGACTTCTTTTGTCTGAGTTTGGGCAACCTGGCAGTGGCTCAACCTTTGCGCTTCCTTCAGGTGGCATGTCAACTAGGTACCAAAAGCGTGTCACAGCTGAATGCATTTTTGGAGCTCGCAACTAGACAGGATATAGTGCCATTCGTCGTTTGATTACGCGATCACATCGCATCCTGACTTGCTCCTTAAGCGACAACTTCTTAGATGAAAAATTTCAATCCTATGACTAATCTTCCTTTCTAAGCTACTTTTGGCACTTCGTGGTGTCCAAAGGCTGTGGAAATTTTAGTGGATATTTAATCCTTCAAGTGAAGTCCGTCTGTGTTGAGAAGCCAAGGAAGGCTGCGTAGATGTTTTACCCTTACTTGGAGTCATTCAAAAGGCCCTAGTGATTCGTGAGCTGGACACTGCTGGTGAACTCTTATTGGGATAAAACAGCCATACAATTCTTCTTGACTTCCCATCACTGATTAACTTTCAGTAAAGGACGTAACCTCTTTCGCGACCGATTCAATTGCCCGATCTTGAGGCGAATAACGACCTCATGTTCACCACATCACGGGAGAACAGTCTCAAAATCATAATCTTTATTTAATCGACTCTGTAGGCACAGCTGTTCAGGTTGGTCGCGATTGGTAAATTTCTTCAAAGGCTGTTGAAGAGTAAAACAAATAAAACCACAGACTCCTTTTTTGAGTTAATACGCACTCTTAACCAATAACTGAGGGCTGCGTTCCGTGCATCTTCAACAAAAGTTCTCTTTACTTGGGTCACATTCTTGGTACATTGCCCTTCCTTTGTTGGAAACTCCATCAGGATACACGGAAATATGGGGCTAATTCATACTGCAACTTTGCATTGCAGGTAATCAGCTGCAAGTCAGCAAAACGGCAGATCAAATGGATTGAATAAATGGATGCGCATCAAATGGATTTTCTTTCTGTATTGTTTTTAAAACATATTATAAATGAAACCATCAGAAATCTATTTCGGACAAATCTAGTCCATTCCTAGTGAAGCAAAAGACGATTCTGGAAGTATTCCTTCACCACCTCATTTGCATTCTCACAGCCATTCATAAGGAGTCTGAGTGAACCATTCCAAATTAACTATCTTAATAAAACTAGGGTCAGCCAAATGCATTCTGCAAATAAGGCCTGCGTTACCCAAAAAGCCTTGTCAGATATGTCCAGTGCAAATCACTACATGCCCTGCTCTTATCCAACATTGGAGAAATGTCCGGCTTCTTGTTGCACGTTTGTTTCTCCCTCCATTGATTTGGTACGGAGGGTTTTCCGTCTAGGCATTTCAGTTGATTTTATGAACAACGAATCAAAGATCCTTTGTTCTGGAGGTAGCCTAGGTTGCTATCGCAACTTTTCACCAGTGCTTCTTTCTGAAAAATGTAACATCACCTCACAAAAAAACTGTCAGGCTATTTCAACATTCGTTCATAGGGAACGGTTTCATTATGACAACCAAAAGTAGAAATCACATCTCGTCAAGGTTAAAAATTTCAACAGTTTTGTCGATCACCAGTCGTTCCGTATTGCACCAGTACAGTTTAATCTGAACCTACGGATCTCAAGTTTTGCCTATTTTAAGCCTTGCACCTATTCGGGAATAGCTTATGTTTCAACTCTCGAACTAGCTTGCACTTTTCCTGTTGAATTACCGAGGAGAAACGTTTGTTGAAAACCCATTTTATTACCCATGGTAGCTGCAGTAAGAGTGTGACTGATACAGATATCTGTTAAAAATGGTTGCCGTTGATATCCTGTTTAGGGGCGAAAATGTCACAGTTGGTTTGGTCCTTTTTCAGTGATCCGTGGAATGAGACTGTAACAGCAGGCTACAAGTACCCGTTTCATTTTGAAGTGTCTCGTGGAAAGGACGGAATTCAATTCCGATATCCGAAAAAAGGGCACAAAGACCTAAAGATATATCTCAAGATGTTAGTTTTTCGCAACGAAATGAGCAGTGTAGGGCGATACGTACACAAGTTTCTTGTATGGGGCAACAAATGTTTCATGTTCAGATGTTACTTTTAGAAAGACTTATGGTTGTAGAGAAGTTGTGATAAAAACGACGAAGTTTATTTAGGAGAACTGACTGTTCGAAGGTTTCATAGCAGGGGCAATACGTTAATCACTCACTGCATCAAAACCCTAGATAAGCGACATGCGAAATTAACTATGGTGAATTCGGTTTACTCGGGAAAACCGCCTATTCCTCACAGAACCATTCTCACACAATAATGAATTCTGCGTTATTCAAAGATAGCTTCCGTATAATGAAACCTGTTTTCGTGCGTCATCGGTTCATTCAATAAAATGAGAAAAAATTATCGTTTTAACTTACGCGATCTCGTAAGTAGTAGTCTGAGCTGGTTTCCAGCACCCGCGACAGACCAAAATCTGAAATTTTGCACACCCAGTTGGAACCAAGTAGAATGTTACGTGCGGCTAAATCCCGGTGGATAATCTGGAGATATGATTTGTTTGCACAGGAAAAGGAGCAAAAGATTTTGAGTGTCATATTTTGGTCGTAAACATTTTCAAAAGTAGTTCGGCAGACGTATTCTCATGAGGTAAGCGCGACCACACATCTTGACAGTGACAGGTGTGAGAGTGCAAACTCGCTTTTTCTGACTTTGGAAGTGCAGCTTCTTACAATCGACGGTAGTGGGAATCAACTAGTGTGTTACAAAAAGCTTAAAAGCATGTTTTCCGTCCTCGAAAGGTGCATGTTAATAGAGATAAAATGTAGAACTTGGCAGTTTTAATCCGGTTGTTTCATTTAACCTAAACGCCTCTTTTCAAACTGTCAGAAAAATTCAGGGTTTTTGGAGATAGACATCCAGTACAACTAGAAATACCGCTGGAAAAGTCTAGTTAGTTATTTCAGGCTTCATTCTCTCAACATGTTACCAGCGTGATTTTAGACTGAACTAGTCAAAATATGTGTGCGAAAAGCTTAGTCGTACGATTTGATTTGTAAACGCATGAAGTTATTTATCTTGTCGACATGGATTCTTTAATTGAGGACCAGGACTTCAGAAAAGACCAGTATACATTCGCAGAGTCCATATGTTTGAATTTCGAATCATTCACACTGGGAGATAACATATGCCATACCGGGCGCATGGTGGCACTTCTGCATTAAAAAAACCGAACAGGATAATAAAATATGCATTCCATGTTTCTTGCTATACTTATGCACTCTTCTTGTAAACTTACCGAAGATTGCTTTGTCTTATATTCTGGTTGAACCGCACCACAAAGCCAGTACAGTCAGTGCTGCATCTAGATATATTGGAATATTTACTCAACTAAGTGGAGTTTTACATGCGCCATACAGAGGTTAGATTGGCTTGACCAAATTAGATTAGGCGCATCCATAACGAGCACCCTCCAACCTAAGGCCTACACTGGTTTTGAGTGCACTTAAAGCCAAGGTATTCCATGAGGACTGCCATCCCGAAAACTAGTGATCAAGTCTCTCTCCGATAACTATATTCAAGACGGACGTGACCCAAGCATGAAATCTAGTCATACTTTAGAGATTTGTGTAGCATGAGTTGCTTGGGTTGCTCATGACGCCGAGGCTGTGGTAGTTTGCATTGGAAATTCTGTCATAGAAGAACACGATAACAAGGCTAAGAAAAATTTCCGACTATGGTTATTTTGCTTTCTAACTTGCTTGTACGCTGTTTTGATACACGAGCAACCACTTGGCTTCCAAGTAAATGCAGTGGAGTGTCATTCGCTTTAATAGACTGCCAAGGAGAAAAAATGTGGTTTTTCAGACAGTGAAGATCTGTGCCCCTGTTTTCAGTCACCAATTACCAACTGTCGTTCTAAAATGACGGTTTTAATTAAGGCCACATTGCCGAAGGCTTTGTGATAGAAATCAACTATTCCCCAGGGGAGTGCTTAGTCCACTTCTGACTATAGGTTTTATTTACTGGTCTCGGGCTTGGCTTTTAGAAGATTTTGGTCAAAACGATGCAGTTAGAAGTATAACTGAGTACTAGAGCAACAAAGTTCCAGCGCCTCGAAATATGATTTTTTTGAAGAAGAAACTTCTCTTTAAGGCATTCATTTATAGAAGCTACCTCAAGTTCATCTATTCTTTTAGGAGACAGCTAGAGAAAAAACGCTGCGGTTCAACCCTGTTTGATAACCCTGTTTAAAAAAATTGACCTAAATTTATGACTGTTCGATCAGTAAGAACAATAAACACAGTGACTTACATTGCGTGACGACAAGTAGCGCATTCCTTCGGCGATCTGGAACACATATGTGTTGAGCTGTTGCTGAAGTTGTGGCATTTCAGCCTGATTTTGCGTTAAATTGCACCGTAATGCACGCAGATAGGTACGTAGATTTCCGTATGGACAGTATTCAATGACCAAGACTGAACCAAACACTATATTAAAGGGGTTAACCATCAGGTAACGCCAAGCAATTTTGCACACAGTAGAAACGAGTAGCAACAAAGCATCGTTTACAGACCATTGAATCAGTAAGGATTTTATGCTTATCAATCTACTGGCAAGGTCCGTACAATTCTCCATTTAATTGTGGGTAGTAGTAATACACTTTTATGGGTGCAACATGGCGTTGAATGTACACGAGCAACCACTTGGCTTCCAAGTAAATGCAGTGGAGTGTCATTCGCTTTAATAGACTGCCAAGGAGAAAAAATGTGGTTTTTCAGACAGTGAAGATCTGTGCCCCTGTTTTCAGTCACCAATTACCAACTGTCGTTCTAAAATGACGGTTTTAATTAAGGCCACATTGCCGAAGGCTTTGTGATAGAAATCAACTATTCCCCAGGGGAGTGCTTAGTCCACTTCTGACTATAGGTTTTATTTACTGGTCTCGGGCTTGGCTTTTAGAAGATTTTGGTCAAAACGATGCAGTTAGAAGTATAACTGAGTACTAGAGCAACAAAGTTCCAGCGCCTCGAAATATGATTTTTTTGAAGAAGAAACTTCTCTTTAAGGCATTCATTTATAGAAGCTACCTCAAGTTCATCTATTCTTTTAGGAGACAGCTAGAGAAAAAACGCTGCGGTTCAACCCTGTTTGATAACCCTGTTTAAAAAAATTGACCTAAATTTATGACTGTTCGATCAGTAAGAACAATAAACACAGTGACTTACATTGCGTGACGACAAGTAGCGCATTCCTTCGGCGATCTGGAACACATATGTGTTGAGCTGTTGCTGAAGTTGTGGCATTTCAGCCTGATTTTGCGTTAAATTGCACCGTAATGCACGCAGATAGGTACGTAGATTTCCGTATGGACAGTATTCAATGACCAAGACTGAACCAAACACTATATTAAAGGGGTTAACCATCAGGTAACGCCAAGCAATTTTGCACACAGTAGAAACGAGTAGCAACAAAGCATCGTTTACAGACCATTGAATCAGTAAGGATTTTATGCTTATCAATCTACTGGCAAGGTCCGTACAATTCTCCATTTAATTGTGGGTAGTAGTAATACACTTTTATGGGTGCAACATGGCGTTGAATGTACATTCTCACACCAGACCCAGTATGACGGATACTTTGTGCCTGATGTGCGAGTCTTGACTGTGCTAGTGCCTGCCGTACCTTGAAGAGCATTTACTATTGTTTGTCCTTTTTTCGGTTGTTGGTCTTTGGACGCGTGTTTCCATATCAAAATCATTACATACTTTAGGATTCATCTCATCAGACTGGGACTGTTCTTGGCAAGATTTTGAATGAGACGTCGCTCTCTTTTCTCCCATATTCTCCTGTTACTCTTTCGCATTCATCGCTTGCATTCACTTTTTATGTTTCTGACCATGCTCTTCAAAAATAAATGATAATAAGTCGGATACCGAGATAAAACTACTAAGGAAATTTTTCAGGCTTCTTATAGACGGCAAATGGTTTATAAATTGACTCGTTAGAGGAGTGATAGAACATCGGTTTTACCGAAATCTTTAACAGAGTTTCGAACTAAGTCCCAGTTTGATTCTAAAACAGTTGCCATTTTACTGACTGTAACAATGTTATCCATCTGTTCGTCACTTAGCTCCACTTATCAAACAGGAATAAACTAATAAACTACACGATTAGAAAAACTGACTTTTGCAAAATGCCGGAATACGCTCGTTTACAACTCACTTTAGTGTTAACAGGGACTCAGCATAAAAGGGGCTTCATGTTTCGATTGATACGGTAGTCGAGATATTGTAATATATTTTCTTGACGTAAAAGACTATTCATGAGTTTGCTATAGACTATCATAAAGGTGAGAAGCAGATGAGTCTCCCGTTAATATTAAAGTGATTTGAAAGTGAGTTCACTCCACCAGTTGCGTACAACTAAATGTTCAGCTGAGACAATTATGGCGGGGGAGTCAGCTACTTGATAGGCCTCAGCGAGGGCGCAGTCGGTAGTAGGCTATCGCCCTCAAGAAAACATTGGGTTTACTTAATCCGTTAGGACATTCTGGAACGTTCGATTTTTGGGTAACCTTAAATACGGTTGCAGTGCCACTATAATATCATGATTAATTAGAATGGTGTGCTTTTTATAACAACAATGGAACGAAATCCATGTTGAAAACAAAGAATGAACTAGTTGGCCATTATGCTAGGGCCGTGTTAAGATGTACTTGTGATTTTATCTTTGTAATGCACCAAATGGCCTGTGGCTGTTTGATCAGCACTATCCGGAATAAAAAAGCCAAATGAATTTTTGTTAGACAGATGAATTAAAAATAATATCCAACTTCGTCTCGCGATGCCAGACACGGAGTTCTTACGGTTCAGCAGCTAAACTAAACTACACAATCTATTTCGTTTTAGATCCTCTAGTTGGGAAAAAAGGTTGATAAAACATCTACCAGGCCTTGCGAGAAATTCAAGTGCAAAAATTAAAAAGGCCCAGGCAGTACTCCGAGGTAAAATAGTATTGGGTTTAGATCCCACGAACCGCAATAATCTAAACATCTGAACGAAAATTTCTGTTACTGTTCTTTCGAGACAGGCCTCCAGCCTATACAACCATTCTGGATAAGCACCGCATGGGACATTTTACCGCCACTTCTTTCCGCGGAGCTACAATTTTTTCAAATATTGGCAGGTAGATGGATATTTGTTTGTCATTCAGCTATGTTGATATGCTAGCTTTTATGTATCAGCGTCGGAAACATGGAATTGTGGTTATTCACAAGACTGAGTGACCATCGACAAATTGATTTATGCACGGCAACTGTCCTATTTAGTGATAGGGTTTTAACGGAGTGAGCCTAATAAATGTAAGTTGACGCATCTTTGCGGTAATTAGTCAGTTTGGGAGCTCGGGAAATGATTTTTAAAGATGAGGGAAAATCTAAAACCCCGGGATAATTAAATGGTTGACAAAAACCACGTACTAAAACACAAATGAAGATGAACATTGCACCAAACGATCTAGCACAACACTGGAACACTGCAAAATCGGCGTGATGTGTTCATTCCACTGTTGGGGTTAAGGTTTAATAGGGTTGTTAATTCGAATGCTTACATATTGCCTCATTCTTTGCTGAAAATCATTATCTTTTCTTCTGTTCACGACTGTGATAGACTACTCAGCTAGGCTCGATCCGCTATCCTAATGAGCATACCTTCTTTAGCAACATGTAAACATCCACTTAATACTGTCATGTTTCATACTTAATATGAGCCTGGATGAATATTACTCACCATCTTTAAGCTTTAAAGTGCAGCTTCAAACAAGTATACTTTCTTTAAGTGAATGTTTTGATAGAACATTTTGAAGGGGAAGATCAACTGCGTAGTGAATATGCTCGTTGTGGTCGTGACCACAGTACTCAGCCTGGCTAAAACTTTGCACGATGATAAGCTTATTGAATTTCCACATTACAAAACGGTGTAAGAACTAGGTCAAAGATCAAACGAAATTCAAGGGCTTGTTGAGCTGAGCCCTCCTTGGCTGTAGGGTAGCAGTGATCCCAGCTAACCTACACATTCTGCTGCGACCTGTGAAAGTTGAGTTTCAACATCAGGCGTTCAACCCCGGAGTATTTAGTGGGATGGACCGAAACAAAACAAAACGTACATTGGTGTGCTTCGGAATACTTACCACATTCTCCCTAGTGATGTTTGAACAGCCTTGTTGATTGCTAATATGTCGACTACTGATGTTGAGGCGGTCATCATTAGCTGCACTCTGATTCAGTCGCCCAAAGGAGGCGCGGGACCACCGCCTTCTATAAAAGATGCAGCAATCTTCACCTGTGATTGCATTTATCCACACTGTAAAGCGTGCAATCACGGTATGGGCCGTTTTTTTCACACGAACATTTGTGCTCTCTGACTTAACCTGATCGAATTCGTTGGACGGAATTCTACGGGCGAGCTGAGTGTGCATGCACGTGAGTGGCTGAGCCGAATCTCAGCCGAAAAGAATAGCATGTGCAGAATCTAATGGTTCGCCTGATCAACTTTTTAAGCAGTCGACTGTGTTATGGTATGTACAAAATCTCACGGTAGCAAGAACTTAAGCACATGATCGGGCACATGAGGGTCCTGGACTAATTACGGACAGCCGGCAAACGAATGTCCGTTCTGCCTGCGCAAGACCTGATTCCTCTTTCCAGAGGGATTACAAAGATTAAACCACCTATTTGACGTTTGAACCATCACCTAAGTGAAAGGCTTACACCTTATAGACTGGAATACTCGAGAGAAAAGAAAAGCCCAGTTCCGATGGACCATGGTGTCCGCAAAAATGAGGCACCCCATGGACAAAGGAATAACAATGTTCAAGTATCAACTGGCACAAAGTTAAATGAGTAGAATATTATATATTGTGAAAACTTTCAATTGACTTTTGACCTTTTCTTGCGTGACAACACTAGGTATTTATGAAAGCCCCATCTTCCTCCTATATGTGGCAAAGGCAAACGCCGTTTCCGTAATCCCACGGCGGTAAATAAACAAACCACAAGAACCCTTCAGCGTACAGTGCTGGAGCAGGCCTTTAGTTTCGTCAGAAAGTTAGGCTGTCCAGCAATGTCCGGCATGATTTTCGTAGCTGCTATTTACATGAATGGGCAATGGGTCACAAATGACCGGTTGTGCAATCCACAGGAAAGGTACACTAGAGCATTCATCCAACGAAAAGAGAATCTATTCGGAACAGCCCACTGTATGGCTTCAATCAGGCAGGCGTTGTGCAGATTTAGTAACGTGTGTTTTGTGGTTCTCAACGGGAATAGAGGATCTTTCATGCGGGAGATTGTGGTGGTTCATTGAAAAATTTGAACAGTATGTAAACAATGGTTTGCTCACTAATGCCTATGACCTACTCAAATGGAAACGCCTAAAATTCTCCTCCTTGTTTTCCCGCGAGTCGTTTTATACGAAGGCCACTTGTGCTCTCAAAAGTCAAATTATGGGGAAATCATATTGTAGATGTCCATTAGGAAAGACAGACTAGACTTGGTGCCAAAAAGACTCCAAAAATATTTGGCTCGTGATCCATCATCAAACACCATTCCCGAATCACAGTTCAATAAAATAAGAATTGCATAGGTGATTGAAAAAAACACTATCCTTAGGCAGACAGTTGTACATAATCACGGGTCTGAAACACTAAGTGGTTCTAATTTTTTCCACATATCGAAACAAGTGGACTTCATTTTGCGGGCCAAAATGACGGAGATTCACAGCACTTGTCTTGTGCAAATAATCTTGATTATCAATTCGTTAAACCAGTGTTGCATTCGCAGAAGCAGTAATTTGTGTACTGACTAGGACCCAGTGTTGGTTGCAAAATGTGAAAACTGTCAACGTGAAAAGTTTACGATGTTTTATCTTAGCTAGTGTCCCTCGAGAATGTGTTGAAAATGGGATTTTCAACAAACAAAAGCAGTACTCAACAGATTTAAACGATATTCATTCTCAAATTTTAGGATGCAGTTCAAAATCCTCGCAACATTGCAGTCGTCAACACGTTTGATGACGTCAAGATGAGTTCCTGAAGATGTTAAATAAGCTGACAGAAGGCAAATCAATAAATTTTGGAAGTATGATTTTACTGAAAATTTTTGCAAGAGAAGCTACACATGTGTTCCTTATATTCGCACAACCAACAGAACCTACAACCAATTTAACAACAAGAAAAAACTAGAACTGGAACTGAATTTATTATTCAACCACCCACATAGTAAAATCGAGGTAGAAACAGTCACTATCAGTTCTAGTAGTTCTTCAGGTTTTATAGAATTTCGATTAAAAATGAGCGGTTTATCCCTCCTTCCATATGAAGTGAGTGAATGGATGACAACAGTGGTAGATGACGCACACATTAAAAGGTTATCACAAGACTGAAGAAGATGCATCAACCTCAGTGTTGGTATTAGTATTAGTAAGAAAAGCCATTTTTAAGAGAAGAGCGGCAGTTTTCACATGATCTAAAAGGACATGAGTAAAAGAATTCCGTATCCACTGCCAGGGATAAAAGATTAGTCAAAGTACACTCGCTGCATTCAGTTTGAAAAGGAAAATGCCATCAATGCGCTGTCGGTGCTGTATCGACGTGGCACCGTGTGCGAGCCAGTCTGAATGGTACGATTGAGGCTATAGCCAATAGTCAGCTGTTCAAAGTCTTGGGAGTCAGGAACATGACAGTCATGCTAAAGGAAACCAAAATTATTCAGAAAGACAGAAACATGCTTTTCGGTGTTAATAGCATATGAGCTTAGGACACACACGTCAAACATATTGGAAGAACAGTTAGCCCATTGTGACCCACAGAATGCTACGTGCACCTTGAACAGTTGAAAAACCACGTACAAGCAGCCTTCTACGTACGGTCTCATCCAACTCCTTTTAACTTCACCGAGAATGTGTTGAAGTGGTGAAAAGGCTGTACTTTCAAATGTTCAAACTATATTGGTTTTTTATATCCCAAAGATTAAAAAACACGTGCGAACTAGACCTTTTGATTTCAAGGGCCATTCTTTTCTCACAATCTCGTTGTCGGCCCTATGATTCCATAAAGCCTTCAGCTCCCGAATTTCTCTTCTATTCAGATGTTTAGCGAATACCCCTGGCACTTTTATGGCATTTACCCACGTTTTTCACACTACTCTTTGTCCATATCATCGGGACCGATGGAGAACTGAAGAGAACCCATGTTATAAATGGATTTGACAAGATTTTCACTTTTTCGTGGCTTGTGTGAGCTCGTTTTGGAACTCGGTGAAGAAGGACACGAACAGAATGACAGATTTTCTCGTCAGACCAGCCCAATACGTTTATGCCATTTCGGCTGCTCATATTGGACCAGTTACATCGGTAAAAAAGGCGTCCAACTCTGTCTGGACGTCTTCCAAAAAGCACTTAGAGGGGACGTACCGGTGTACCGTAATCACTTTTCGTATAATTCATAGGGCATCACGTAAGCAATGCGACCGATTTGAAAGCCAACGAATCGCTTCTAAATTTAATATACAGGAGACTGCTGTCCAAGCGAAGTATGTTGATATGTGGGTCTTTCTGTCTAAATACTTTGTTAAAGAACGGTCGGTGGACTTTCTGGAGTCTAGGTAGTCAACTATTTTAATGACTATGTCAGGTGATCATGTGTAAACTTTTAATTAATTCCGCTTTTTAACTTTGCTCACTATTTTTTATAACCAACTGGGATGTTTTTTATAATTTCCAACCAAATTTGCTCTATCCTACCCCGCACCACAACTACACTGACGAGTGTAAAACACATACAAGATGACAAAAATGCCCTTCTAGAGATGTATACGCTTCCTCCTGCTTTTAAAAAAGAAATAGAATAATGTTATTTCCATGTCAACAACACTACAGTCAACTGCGATTAAAATGCTTTGCTCCGAGTCAATTTTTCATCATTTACAAAACTATGTGGAAAAGTAAAACATGATTATCACTTTAGGAAGTCCCTGCTTCTAAGAAAACCGTCATGTATTCTTCTACGCTCATGAGCTTCTGAAAAATAAAAGAGGTCCGACCAACGAATTCAAGTATATTGTAGTGAAGGAACAAGATTTCTGGTTCGTGTCTACACGAATGGTGTCTCGGCAACAAAACCTGAAATGATGAAGGCATGGCTTAGGATGACAACCACGGAGATTCGATCCGGTTCTATTCTCCAAGTTAAAAGTAAATGTTCAAGAAGGGTATTGGCTTCCCATCCGTTTTAAATCTTTGAGTAGTGCGCCCACTAGTCCATCGGAATCAACGAAACTTTGGCACAAAAATCAATTTCATATACTAGCGGTACCATTGGAAGTTACAGATGCAACGTTTAGCTGCTTGTTAGAGGTCTAACTGAAAAGCGGGAGGTGACTAGCAGAGTAGTCTTTCTTTAACAAGTCACTCGATGAAGACTCCTGGGGTCTTTTCCCATGGGGCATTTCAATCAGCGTCCGATCGCCCTCTCTACTTCTTCAGGTTCTCTCAGCTGCTTAGCTTCCCCATCAATACGAAGGCCATTTTTGAGTGACACAGATATCTTGTTACATTGCATCGTTTTTCCGAAAATCAAAATATGTTTCTGGTAGCATAGTTGTACCAAAGTCTCATCTAAACTCAAGTTCTATGCCACGCTGCGTCTGTGCTGTCTGCGCTGCACCAGAAACAGAGTAGCTAACATTTTACAGGATTGCTGGAAGTATGTCTAAGCAAACGTCTACATCATGAGGTTTACGGATTAGAGCTGAGAATCCTCACAGACCCAAAGTATCTGATTACGGGTTCTTACTCTGAAGGATGAAAGTACTTGGGAATGGTACAGTGTTCGATGTCGCTGTCAGAGAAGATTGTCAAGATATTCCACAACTTTCCAGATAAAAGCTTGAGTGAAACAGGTATACATCAGTAGATAGGGATTGTTTTAGGCAGTCCTAATAGGTGTGCTATGCTTTTCTCACTGGTTCAACAACGCTGGCATGTGCGCCAGAAAACTGTAAGACGGCAATGGACGACGATGTGATCACATTGAATGAAGGTATGGAAGAACGAACAAAATGGTAGTTGCTCTGTCTCAACAGTAGCTGATGGTGAGTGGCACATAGCCGCTGTCAGTGTTGTCAGTATGTCTTATTTTTGAAGCGACCACCCCGATGGGCTGTAGAGTTCATAGCCCCGGCAATCATCACGCTGACTGATCACTAAGCCCGCTGAACCGAAATTTCTAAACCACCTAAAAGCTCTTTCCGAAAGAACTAGGATTAAATGGCTCGGTAAGAATCACCAGAGAGTTCATGAACTTTGCATAAATAACCACGTAGATGCAGGTGATTTGGTAGAAGGAAGAAGTCTGCTAGACGAAGGAACCAATAACAGTAGATAACCAGCAGAGTGCATTCATGAACCGCTGAGATTAACCCTCAAAATTCTGTTCAGTAGTTGAACACCATGCCACTTGGCCATGAGTGGCTGATCAGCTGTGTGATAAACGTGCCCTAATACGGGACGGAACATCACCCATCCAACGGTCGCGTGACTTAATTTCGGTGATCGTGTGTTGACTAGTTCCTCGAATAACGACTTCTCAAGTAAAATGTTTGGGTCACTTGTGAGATTTTTCCTTCTTGAGAAAACTTTTATACTGTTAGTATGTCCACGGTACATTCGGACTTTTCGGGGTAGAGTGATTCTGTTTGAAAGACGAAATCTCAAGTGAAGTTACAAAATCTCACATTACCGACTAACAACTAGCTGCGGTCTTCTCTGAATCACTAGGAGTGTGCAGTTGGTAACCGTACTTGGACCTTGAAACTGTCTCAGGCAAACAGCGGACATCAATGAAATGCAATTTTAGAGTATAAAGATAGTGTGAAGATGAATAGTTTGAAGATACTTGAAACAGAATGAGGGGAGGGCCAAGCGAAGCACTTTAGCACTTACATGCAATGATCTATTCGCCAAATTAGCTCACCAGGCTGACGTAACTGAGGGCTGATGTCGCACGAAGTTGTTTTAGGTTGTGGTAATCATGGTTACATACGGACTGAGGCACTATCATTGTACGAGCACCGGTGAGGAAGGACAGATTTGTTCCTAGCAAGGATTTTGGCTCAAAATTTCGGCAGCGATGTGGCAGTGGTCGACACTAGATTACCATACTTCGGATTTCGGGTAGGTCTCCTGTTCCAGCATGGAAGACCCGAGGATGGAGTTATTCAGACTTCTATTCATCGATCGATCTGGTACGAGACATTCTGGTACGAAACATTCTTTTTTACATAGCTAATTCTTTGAGAAAGTTGTAAAAAACTATTACACTACGATCAGGTTCGGTTGTTAAAAGTTGTGAACACACAGATCATAGCTCCCTGGACCATAATTGAAAGTCATTATGGCCAACAGGTATGAAATTTTGTGTATAAAAATTGTAAGCTCCTCAAGAGATAGCACCTTGTCCTTGAAGCACAGGAATGAGAGGCTCCCTTCTAAAGAAGACCCATCACAAGGGACTGAGAAAGAATTATTGTGTGAAATTTCTGCCTGTTCAGGGGAGTTTGCATTTGAGGGCCCGTTTTGACCTGGATTCAGATGACGGATCCAACATGCCCGCTGAAAATCGACTGTTCTCACACGGTATAAACCAAGGGGCAGGTGAACAAAAGGAGCACATGGTGCAGGGAGTAGCGCGTCGCAACAATGCTTGCGCAGACGAGGATGGGCAAAAAACCCCTTTATATCTGCGCTGCTGAAGGTTGGAATCACCAATAGGCCCTTATTGCACAGAAAAGGCTACACGTCATTATTTTTGCGATACTCTCCAAGCTTGATAAGCTCATTCAGAATGTATTCTGTTCCCTCTGACATATTCTAAAGGGCCATTACAAATCGCACATGGAGACACGTTGAACAAAAAATGAGGTCACACAAAAAGAAGTCACAGGTGGGGATTTTGGTGTCCAACCAGGGGCAGTGTCTCGGAATTCGGACGTCATGGAAAATTCTTTGTCCAGTGGAATCTCAGCGTGCATTGAATGGTAATATCAGCCACAGAAACTTTGCAATAATCGTGTGACCAGAAGATGTGCAAGCAATCGACTCAGAAAGTTGTCTAGAGGCAGAAGACACATCAGCGTTAACAATGATAAGGAAACTGGGACTCAAAAAATAAACTCACCTGGAAGGTAGCATGTACCGAAAAAACGAACGACATTGCAATGTATCCCCGAGGACTTCATCACCGCTAACTCTGCCTCGAAGACATCATTTCTCTTCGTAAACGGTTGCCTGCGGTGATTTGAATGGAAACGCTTTGGATCAGCGTCGTTAGGACCGCGTCCTACCCGGGATAAGTCGATTGGTTTTTGTTCAGTTTGTCCAGCATCTGACGAGATTATTTCCGCGTAATGGCACAGGCTGTTGGATGAACATGTGTCTGACCTAGGATCGGCTATATGTTTATGTTGATCCAACGAATGATCGGACGTGTCCCCAACTGGGTTATCAGAAACGGAATAAAGTAAGGTGCCGCGTAATATTGCGTTCGGATACGTTATCTTATAATGTGCAGAAAATGGAATATCACATTTATCAGGAAGTATGAGGCTATGAAATTCTGGTTTATATGTTAGGGACACCTTCAACCTTCAGTCGACCACAGTTAACCCCTAGTTGCTTACAAACTATGTAAAAATGACCAGTCATTATGACCGTCGTGTCGACAAGGCATATGGTCGTTTTCCGTGAGGCAATGCGAAATCACTAGTAAGCAAAAAATCAAGTTTCACTGTTAGCAAACAAACCACATTTGAAATAAAAGCTTTGGACATTTGGCATCCTTAGGAAAATTCGACAAGTCGTTCAGCAAAATTGCATACAATTTCTGAAGTGTCATACTCAGCTCCTTGCTAATTTTCATAAGCTAATGCAAATTACGTTTTTTATCAGACCAATAAATTACCCTTACATCTGTGCCGACAGGTGCAGCCCCATTAGAGGATAATTATCCTAAAGGCGACCAGACGGTCTGAAACGGTTGCCAGCATGACGGTTTCGCTCAAGTGGCTAGGGATAACAATAAATGAATTCAGTGAATGCATGGCACTCAGACTATCAGCCCGATGGAAGACTTCGGTGATGCCCCACCAATTGTTCTCACTTTTGCTGAACAGATCTAAAATAACCATGGGAGCTGAATCGACGTAACGAATAAATCGAGAATGCTACTAGTTGATTTGAGTTAGGAAATTAGATAATCATCCCAATGGTACTTTTCAACCGAAAAAAACGACGAACTATGAAACTTGTGAGAAAACAGGCCATTAACAAACTGGGAAGTCAAATTTCGTCATAAAGGCCAGTCGACTGCTGAGATCCAAATTTTCGGTCTAAAAAACCTACAGCTTGTGTAAACTTGCTGTCGCCAGATTTATACGGAAAACTCTTTAATCTGGTAGAAATATCTCGGCTTTTTGACACACAGTGACTGCGGTGGAAATACATGACCATGGCTTTGCAATGGGATTATTTAAACAGACAGGTAACATATGGCTTCCGGTGAAGAATGTTGGTAGCTCGGTTGACTTGACTTGATTGTATGGAAGAATGTTGATTTGCTCAATAGGCTAGGAAAGTTGACTGCAAACGCTCAATCGATAGACGACATATTACCATCAGTCTAGCTTGGGTCAACGCTGACTGCTGCATGTGTTTGCCTAGCGCCTGATCACAGGGTAGAATCTGAAGAAGTCAGGTTAGGAATCATTTGCGTGCCGTCAAGCTGGACGCATATCAGTCATCCATCCAGTGAAGTACTTTTTGGCCAAATTTCTCCAGGTCATTCGGGATTAACAGAGGGTAGATAAGCCAGCATACAATATCAGAGTCAACACCAACTTAGGAATCACTGGGGATATTATCTCGTGTGTGGTGACCAGTCGCACAAAACCAAAGTGACTAGTAGAGCAAAGCAACGACCTTGGAACATTCAATATTCTGGAAATTAGTTCATCTTGGAATCGAGTCTCATTGTTCAGGTGAAATGTGGTAGGAAATATACGAAGGTGACCTGAAGAATGCGCGGAGGTTGCTCTTACTCAGACAGCAGCAAAAATGAAAAGAGGGGTCAAGTCGAAACACAGACTTCCGAGTTAATAATTCGCACACTGTTCTCTACGTCGCATTAACCTCGTATCCACAAATAACCTTCAGGAGTTTGTGGGTGAAAAATGGACATAATAGGATTTGTGGAAATACTCTAGTAACACATCCCTACGACCCTACATGCTGATGAGACAGTTCCATAAAAAACAACATCAATACCAATTTGATTTATCATTGTGAGGAAGAACCAGAAAATAAACATTCGTTTTACCATCTGGTGAGAGTATTTCTTTGATTGCGACCCACATCCAGTTGTTGTTGTTGTTGTGGAGTTTCGAATGAGAACCAATAATCGAGGCGATATGTTGACGGAGTCTGGAGCAAGTTAAATCCTTATCATTCGCGGTCGGCAGTCTTAGTTTCGCGCGCATTACACGACCGAATCCACCCTGTCCCAACAAGTGGGATACGTGAATGCTGTGAGGGGTAGGTATAAAACAACACAGAATGCGCAGAACATGGAACTTGCTCAGGTACGCCAAAAATCGACCACATAATGGAATCATACGAGTGCAGTACATATATCGTTGATCCAAGTGCTTTGTTACAGTTTACAGTGCTTGGGGTACCGACAAACAGAGGTCCGACCCAGTTCGAACAAACAAAGGACCCTGAATGCCGAAAAGAACATATAATATACCTTAACAATGCTTTGGCGTCCACAGTCCTACAATATTTCGGAAAATTGCGTTCATGTGCATAAAATAACACAACGATTTCAATGGTACCGCTGAATGTCACTCCCGAAGACTGTTTGCCTCCACAGCCTTAGTCTCAAAAGGTTTGCTCTGCTAACATTTAGAGCACACTGTTAACGCCTAGTACATTCAAAAAAATACTTGATTGCATCTTTGAATGGAACATACGATCGTGCGTATAGTAAACTTGCGCATTTCTGTACCCAACTAACACATGTTGAAATGGTCTAGACGATCCGAAAAGACATACAAACGAAAGTTGGCATGGAGCCTCTCTCCGTCCTATGCCTTGTTCGTTTTCTCAACAGAGCACTTTAATGCTGTTCCTTCTGGTCGCACACCATTCAAACTCAATAACTTGTCCTTGCACATGTGGTTATGCTGACTTATCACTGATGGACCCAACTCGAAAAATACCCCACTTAACTGCACAAAGTCGCGCGCTTTTCTAGGTGTGTACACTGCTTTAAACCATTAGGCTACTTGTGATCTTAACTTAGGAGTAACTCTCATGTGACAAATAAACCGTAGGTACTTTAATAGTGATCAAGATGTTCAACTTACCATGTGTTTTGTGGGATGAATAGCGTGCAATATAAAGGACCATCTGTCAGTTTAGTCACTCACCTTATGCTTGCTACTTAGATTTTGCCACTGCCTAGCTCATTCATAAAATTTCAGGACTCACGTCGCTTAAACTGGTAACTGAGAGTACCACTAACTGACTAAATAAACTTTTAAGAAAGTAATTAATCTTTTCGAGTTAACACCATATGTGCGCACATATGGCTAGCTCGTAGATAATTTATAAATTCATACTGATATTTTGTTAACAATGTGCGTGTCCAATTGGTCACAAAGTTGGGTAGTTTCACTAGAAGAATAAACTGGGTAACAACCTTCAAGGACGGGCAATTTCTGTTTCTGCCGGGATACACATATATACCCGCAATAGACAAGAATGAAGTAAGTGGCCTAAAATTTGTTCGGAACTCCCTAAATGGTTTTTCGTTCACTCAGTACGAGATTGCTAGAGATTGCTAGTGAGGAATTAGGTAACTGAAAAAAAACACGTCGGAACAAACAGCTTAGACATTCACAAAACGACGGTTATGGGAGAATTTGACGAGCGTGGACATATACTTGTGCAATTAGGGCACGTGCACTGATCGTTTAGTGGCTTATATATCACACTGCCATCTGCTCTGGTTAACAGTCCATGCACCTACATATTTTCTGTAAAAGACTATGGCCCGGGTATTACGGCAGTCTTTCTCATTTCCATATAGGTATACGCACGATTGTGAAGTCAAAATTTTCAGAAAATTGAAGCGAATATCGATCGCTTAGATAATATATTGACGGCCACTGGCTTGTTCGCTGAGCTGGGCAATTCAGTTGCGATGTCACCAGTCGCGGTGACATTTTGCGTGGTTGGAAGTGCGTGGTTGTTGCGTGTGCCTGGGATGATATGAGGTATACTCGCCCAGGTCTTCCTTGAGTGACCATTGGTCGTCTAAGTTAGCGTACCTGTTGGCTTGTTCTTTAATCGGACAGCTGAGTGGCGACTGTCCCGGTAGACTTGAGAGTGCAGCTCTTCATGTTCCTTGTGACCTTTGCTTATTCGCCTCCACAGTGGGACCTGTTTCTTGGTCAGTTGGTTTGACGACCGGGCCCGACAGTGTTAACAGAGTGAGCGTTACCCCGCTCGTTGCGGTGCGTAGACAGGATCACCTTGGATATGCCAACTGACTGAATCTCATATGGAATATTATGCTTCTAGGGATGCTCTCGATTCTTGTGCTTGCTTGAGCCAAGATCCTCACGTTAGATTGAACTAGATTAAACTCTGTTTCCTCCAGATTCATATGTACGGAAATAAGAGATAGTAGGGTTTTATATCATTTGATAGCTGACTTGAGTCCCCTTACCCATATAGAAAAAATTCGCCCATTCTGCCCAACATAAACTTTCTTACCACATGGTCGATCCACTCCTTCAAGGCACAACGCAGTTAGACTAAAAAGGCACCGGTGTCACCTCAATTAGTGGCGAAACGTTTGAAACCATGTGAGCGAGACGAAAATGTTTGGAAATGCGTGAGCTCTGCTGTCAAAAATCAGATGATGATCAGCCGTTAGCCGCTATATTTTGAGAGGCGGACGATAGAGAGTTAGACGTGACATTGACGGAGTCTGAAGTCCGTGACGTCGGCTCATCTGATGAACACGTATTGACAGACTAGCAAAACCGGTTAATACGTCTATCCCAGATCTCAACAAAGCATGCGATTACTTGAGGTTTGAAAGTTTTTTTCAAAATGCACATGAGTACTAAGTGGCCTTACTATGACTTTGATTTCATCTATGAAATTTGGCAGCGAAACCTTCGCATTCCAACAGTCTCGTCCAAAGAATTACTGCAACAAATCTAAGGACAAATTAGTAGGAGCTTTTCGGATTCTTGACCACTACGTATGATGAATTAAAATAAAAGTTGCATCAATTTCAACTGATGAAATAAAACCCACTGGTGCGGATTGATCTCCCACACGCTATCGATCAGTTTACCCCATTTGGTAGATTTACGCTGTTGAGAGCGAGTTCGATCGTTGTCCCCTTCTCCAGTTAAACTAGGAAGACTGACGGTGTAGCGCCTTTCATCACGAACGAAACCGGACAAATTGACTCTGGTGTGCAAGTTTTCGTAGCTCATCGAAGTATGGGACTGCCTGCAGTTGGGACACTGTAGCAGAGAAAGTCTTCATAATCATGACGGGTTTGATGGGCATATTAAAAAATCAGGAAAATTGGAAATTAAAACAGGTCTAAAGAATTGTCTTTTTGATGATAGAAATAGCGTAGTAGACCGATTATTGTCATCTGAGGTTAACCGTATCTAGCGTGTGAGAACGCATGTCATTCGAATACCTGGACGCTTTTATGATCACCTAATTCATCGAGCTTTTCGATCGATTACGGAACTGCTCCAAAAATTGAATCGGTCGACATTCACCATGAAATCAATCCTAACTCAGGATAAATCAAAATGAATAGTCTGTACTAGAGATAGAATGCAACTGCTCAAAAATAGCTTATTTCTAAAGTCGTTGTTTGCGGTCAAAAAATGTTTTCTACAAAATAAAAATGCTGAACAACTCACGAAGCGCGACTCATCAAAATAAGCTCGAGGACTGTTATGGTACAACCACGCTGCTGGATGGTGCAAATGCTTAGGAACGGGCTTTTGTTTAACAAGGGCCTCAGACTGGGAAAAGCTCCATTCCTCTTTGGCGTCGTCTTCAAACACTTTCCATACTGTCGTACGCCAACCAAGTTTCCATCGAACTCTGGGAAATGGGAAGAAGATGGTGGCGTTAAAACACGCTAACTATTGGAAGAAATCTGAAAAAATGTTTTATAAGGACATATTCATCCACTTTTAGGCAAATGAGATTACTCAGTTGAACTGCCATAATTGATTTCACATTTTCCAAAAATATTTGCTCGGTTGCTATGCGGCTCCGAGGCACCAGACACCAGGTCATTTCAGTCAAGAAAATTCTAAAATTGTAAGCATAAACTTTGTACCTCTCGATAACATATTGAATGGCTGCGTGGTATAGAATGCAGAAGCCGGACAGATTTCCTAGGTGGAAAGCTGTGTTTTGAATGGTGGTATACTGCCTAAGCCTCTCGTTATTCGTTCCTATTTACAGCATTATGGGTGGATGAATTCAGTTGCTGATATAGTCTCGCAAGAGAAGGCGGGGTAGTCAACAAAGGAAATTGTGCCCACCGATGGCACAACCGTCACAGACTGGCTGATAATTTTTAACATCAGAGATCAACCGGTTGGAGTGGAAGGAATCGATGCAACGGGTTGATGCGGGCGAATATGTAGAATTAATTCAGCTGAAGTGATGATGGGACAGGGAAGAAAGCTACATTAATTTTTTAAGTGATACAATAACTGTTTTGCGCAGATGGTCGTTACAATATCCACCTCGCACATACTGAGGCTTCTGGTTTTTCACAAACATGTCAGCGAAAATGAAACAAATATAGCATCGTCCAGATACTAGTCATTTAGAAAGAAGCAAATGTATCCACGTTGATACTTGAAAAAGCAAACAGATCATCTGCTAGAAATTCGTACGCCAGTTTGAATGAAGATATACGCACTGCTCGTTTTATAGTACTCAGACGCTTATGCACAAAACCTTTGAAAGAACGGCATCCGGCACCAAAAGACACTTTGGATGCCTCAGTATGCATGCCTCATCAAAGAGCTTTACCATAGTGACCGATGAACGAAAGCATAATCGGCCACGTGGATTGTAAAACGGAAGGGGAACACGAGGTGATCGAGGAAGTGTAGAGATGCACTAAGCAGCTCGGATGTTTGTATCTAGTAGAGTCCAGTAGAGTCACAACGTTGCCTTCAGATGATTGGAAGTAGGAGGCTTCGAGTATCATCACGCTCGCTGTTTTACAGTTAGCTTATATTGACCCGAATTAAGTACAAGGGAAGTTTAATAATCAGTATGATGCTGTATGTATTATAGGCGTGTTGTGTGACTATCATTCATACAAGACAGAAATTAGAACTGAGTTGTGTTTGAGGGATCTCAGTGATACAGAATGAACGAAGTCATTCAGTCTTTTAATGAACGACTATGATGGGTGTCATGTCTTAGAAGTATGATTGTTTTGGGTTCAATATAAGCAAAAGAGTGAAAGATGGATCTCGCTGGCAGTATGCTGCGTACACAGTGACTGTCCCGTAAAGATTTTTGCTGCTCCAAATATGGAGGATTTTCCTCCTACTGGGAATCCTTGGATGGGCTCAAACAAGCCAGCTTTGTAGGCCTCTGCTGACAACCACTGCTCTCTGTGATGTGCTTTCTGGCTGACCACCCACTGACCACAACTGATCACATACGATCGGCTAGCTGATTCACCAGCCAGACGTGCACTCTATCCCGAATCACCAAGCCTTTGCGCTTGTCTGTTTCATTTATTCCCCAAGGGCGATGCAACACATCCTGATAATAACCGACCAGCTGCAGGCGATCAATAAACCCTTGTGTCGCGAGAAGTCTGTTGATGGACCAGGTATATACCAATTTATCCTGGGGGTAACTGGTTTTTTATTAGCATGTTTTCAATTGCAGAGCTTTTTTAACCTAAATTTGCACTAATACTGCTAATACTGAAAAGTCTACTCTCAAAGTTGCGAAAAGTTGGTCTGCGTTTTTTTGCAACGAACATAATCTGCATCAGCATGAGAGAATCTTTCTGACCGGCTCTGTCCTAAATGAAGCGTTCAACGGAGTGTGACCGTTTCCGGATCACGGATAGTTTTACCCAGGCAGAACTGATCGGCCTAACCAAGTTAAACTGAGTATATGACATTTGTCAACAGCTCACTAAATAGGTTTTAGGAACACGCAGCCAGGAAAAATTGGCTAATTTGGTAGTGAGCAGATTGTGTGAAAGGAAATCAATAAATGTGTTATGCACTGTGAACAGTTGCTTCCTAATTTTAACAAATACTCTCAATCATCATATCGGTCTTATCAGGCTAAGGAATACCATGTTAAGGTTTGTATTTGTATCCAAAAGAAACACTTTCTGGTATGTTTTAGTTGTTTTAGGAAACACAAGAGATCTGGTATCTAACGATTGCCATTTGTGGTGATTAGGCTGTACAGAAAAGTATGTTATCAATCATTCGAGAGGTCCTTGGAGCAGACGGACAAGTCATCATTCTAGTGAGGTTTTTTGGTAAAGAACCAGTGGATGTATTAATGAGAAACGTTTCACTGTTGACAAAGAAGTTTCGTCGGGCTAAGTGGATAGGTTACCAGAATGACCGAGTTTCAAGACAAAACAAATCAGTGAAACCAGTTCCAGTTGGTAAGCTTGATTGGTGTTAAGTGATTTCTGTCTGTTGCTGTTGTCGAATTTGGTTTATGGTATTTACAGTGGGCCGTTGTTCGCGATTCTACCTGTCCTCTGCTACTTCGTGACTTACGTTGGTTACTCGGTAGGACATGTTATGTTAGTGTGATCAGAACCAAATAAACCAAAACAGGTTTCCAAAGCCGTTATCGCATCCATTTGTTCAACCAAGCAAACATCCATGGTCTACATAGACAACAGTGCTCAAGGTCAACACAATCCGATTAAGGCAGTGTCACCGCCTTTTGTCCCACTGTCTGTCTAAATTAATTCAAATGCAAAACATCGGGTTTATGGTAAACCCTTCGCGCGCGGATTTCTCTCTCAAAAAACGACAGCTCTCTTAAGCAGAAGCACCGCACCATCAGCGTATTTCAACAATCATCTACAAGGCATTACCGGAACACAGTTCTCGCACTCATATCCATTTTGTCAGAATGATAGATATTTATGAATCACTTCCAGGTCAGTACCTCATATGAATGCCTGAAAGTCCCAGAAAAATGGAATTCGAGAAACATGTCAGAACATGAACACATCAAGAAGCTAGACCGGTACCCAGTGCAAGGGAAGGACGAAAGCGCACCAGATAAAATGAGACGACTGCATATGATTTTGGCAATGTATTGGGTGATTCAGGGAAAAAAGATGGAGCTCGGTACTGAGCTGTTAAGAAGGCCAAGCCGTTAATTTTCAAACCTATTGTAAGGTACTTCTCAGGTATTTTGTGAAGATCATTGCTTTCAGAAAGAACTTTCCAACCATTTACCTTTGGTCAGATTGCTGTCTGAATATTCGAACGACTGGTTATATGGGGCCAGACTTACCTCACTTTCTTCCAGATCGCCTTTCGTATGGTCTTTACTGAACAAACGGCCAGAATGAGGATTACCAGCAACATCAAGCAAACCAATGAGCCGGCAGCTACAGCTAGTGGACGTCGGGGATAAAAGAAGAGATATCTTGTGTAAGAGGGGTAGAAATCCGTGTAGGTGTAGCAATGCTGATGCTGAAGTTGCACTAAATGACTAAGTCATTCCTGAAAGGATAACACGAAGAGTTACAAAGTAGAGCCTAAATTTTTGTTTACTGGTGTCATTCATATATATGCATCCGGTGCTTTCAGGACAGGAGTACAATCGCTATGCCAACCACGCATTACATTTCACAGTGATGGGAAATTAAATAAAGTGCAGTAATGACTTTGGTAACAGTGCACACTGTTCTTCTGGTATGGTGATGCCGCCACAAGCAAGTCTGATGTTTGCACAGGCGCGTTTGAATTTACACTTCTGTTCATTTCTAATAGGCACACAGAGAGGCAGTTGCTCTGAATAACGAACCTGGCATAATGCTATTCGTATTGAGGAGTGTAGATGTGCTAATACAATCGGTAAATCCAGCAGTGTCAACCACCATTAGTTAATTAAACAGCTGCGAAATTTTTTGCTTTAATGTGAGTTCAAGAGAAAGTACAATCAACTATGCTATGCTAGTAACAAAGGTTCAAGATATGGGCACTGGTTCCATCGCATCTAAGTCTCATACTAGGGATGGTAAGAAGAATTCTGCATGGGTTCAACAAACAGAGGACCGTAAGATAGATGCGTCGTGGAAGCCACACAAGGACAAGATATGGAGTTCAACTTGTTCCATTCAATTTGTAAGTCTTGCTAAATCTGGTATTCAGTAGGTAAGAGCCATCTTGAGGAAGATGTGATCGGAAAACCTGCTCGGTTTTCTATATAAGGCACTGTTTAAAAGGCACCCAAATTCCTCTGGTTTTCTGCGCACACCAGTAGGTTGAGCTTTTTTAGAAAATCAACTTTTCCTCTGGAGAAAACAACCGTGGGTTTTCTCGATTTCTTGAAAACCTAGAGAGTCCGTGAAGAGTTGCTTTCTTCTTCGAAGAACTGCCAACCTTGCTGGTCAATAAACGTGGGCTATAATCACTTACACACGTTGCATAACGTCAATAGCAGCTGCTGTTTTGGACTTCTGAGCAAGGTAGTCTATTTTGTCTTTACTGGCCACAGCTTCTTTCCCTTCGTTCCCTCGGTTAATAACTACGATCTGCGTTATAGGACGAAGATTCTGAGCATATTAGTGCACTCTTGAATGCGGCGACAGTGAACTGAATTTTTCATTGTTCCTACAATCCCATTGCATGCTATGCAGTAACAGCGTGCAGAGAAGTAGGCGTAGCGGGCAATTACCGTAAACCAATACTGATAAGCTAGACAAGCGTGTCATCGTTTGAATGGACACGTAAACCCTTGTTTCGGCAACCAAATACCTGATGTTTCTCTAAAGCCCTGGATTGGATTTCCTAATGTATTTCGCTAGAAACGCATCAAATGACAATACAGACTCAAAGAATAAAATCTAGACAGTGGTTTATTGGAGGGAATGAAATCGATACTGTTGTTGGAAAACGGAGGCTTGAAAATGAGGACTTTATTGGTGCTGGTCGAGATAGCCGTATAATCTTTACGTTTGCAGATAAGCGAGTGTATATTTTAGGGATAACGATGACCTCGACAATTGCTGGCTGAAAACATACACCACGACACGATTCTCCACAGACATATGACATATTTTGGCATCAGTTCGGCTGCAACAAGTAAAATAGACGAAGTTTAACCGAACTACACAGGATGTAGTAAGTTTCTGGTAACATAGTTCTTGACCGACCATTCTGTGTAGTTTTGCAGTCATTAGCTAAACGAAAAAGGAGGGCTTTGAGTTCAATACATTCTCCTAATGAACCCATTAGTTAACTTTGTCAAGTTTATGAACAGCGCATTCATTTATCTCAGTTAAGAAATTCAGAAATTCTAAAAGTTCTGCTCTAAGATACCTATATGACTTTCTTTGCTGGCTATTAAACCATGTAGAACAATGGGGGCTGGTGAGGAATTACAATAAGCAAGTATATTATTGTGCTTAGCTTTTGAATAGTTTGCTAAAGTGCGCACATGGGTGAGCCTTCGGCGATGTCGAAAAACGTTTCAGCTATCCCTCTGAGTCCAGTGTGAATTGGGTTTAGAGGATGTGTCCTAATACTTGTCTCACCGTAGATTTTGTAGACGCACTGATTCTATACAAGAGGGATCTCCCACAAGTCAGCATGCTTCCAAAGAATAAGTGCCTCGGTCAAAAATAATCTGCATTATGAATGGTGGAGTGTATCCCAAGTGCTTTTAATAAGAAAACAGTCCGGTCACTGGCCTCCGAAAGTACTTCTTATGTATCTGTAAGATCAAACACCAAACTGCAGCTTAAGGCGCTTAGATTGGACCGAGATGACGAGTGTATGATCAAAAACACTGACTTCGACGTTGCCGATTACCATTAGTTTAGTAAGCTAGCTTGTAATCTCCCAGTGCACTGGGCGGCAACAAGAATCATCCAGTTTGGAAGATAAAACTCGATGACAAAGTGAACAGAGCTGACACTGCGCATGGCCAGAGATGCAACAAAGTGCAACCAAGATTACTATGTCGTGTGAAAAACCACATTGTCCACACTTTATACGTAGTGAGAACCTAAATCAAATTACGTATGGCCCACTTTCGTGGCTCAAGTAATATGTAGAAGCCATTCCAATCAGCGCTTCATGAAACTGTTTTGAGCTGTGTGGCTGTCTTTCAGCCTACAGCCTACAGCATACAGAAACCTTTTATCTACCGGGAGAAGATAAAGCACAACCACCAACCCACCGCTACGCACTACCACGCTCCCCAATAACGCAATGATGAAGTCACCTCGATTGGGGATGAAAAGTTTGGAATCAAATTGCCCAGCTCAACGAACAAGCCAACGACCAGAACCTAAATTACTTGAAGAAAGACTGTTGCTCTTGGCCAAAAATAAGTAGTACAGCTTAAACACCTAAAGAACTAAGGACAAAAACTTTCCGCATTTTAAAGGTGTGATTAATTTATTCTCCATCCAAAGGAAAACGTGCCCGGTACCCTCGGCAGCGTTCCTGATAAGTCGGGATGATGTGCCGCGTTATTAGTACGATCAGCGACTACTTTGTACAGCCTATAAGCCTGTGGTTGGAATGGCCAATCCATGTACCATTTCAAGTGATTGGCTTTACTGTTGTAAGAAGAAAACATAGATCTACTTCCGTCTTTAATTATTACCAGTAGAAATGCAGATAGTCATAAAACCCTAATGACTTTGGATCCAAACTCCCATACCCCAGTTTTAGTTGATCATATCCAACATAAACGTAGATGGGGATGCTGACTGCCAACCAAACCACTACTTGGGATGCTACGTTTGGTGGTATGGTCGCCGGATTTTATTACGCACTAGAATTCATAGAGTGTGGTGTTATGTATCCCAATTTTCTGATTAGCTTATTGCGTTGCCCGCTATTCTAGTCTCCATTTCAAGTGCTTTATAGTTCCACTCTGACTTTTCTCTCAAGCGGCCTCGCTTCTGCTTCAAGTCTGAATGGGTACACTTCATGTCAAAATAGCGTTAACTGCTCTGAGAAGCAGCCCTTGCTCTACTTAAACGCCTGCTTTAAAACTACCTTCAGGTAGTTCAACAAATTGTCTTGAAAAAAACATGTTCACAGCTTTGCTGGGCACAAATTGATTTGCATTTGACGAACCCTCCATGATTTAGTTTACATGGATGGGCAAACAATTGTACAGATTTTCCTGTGTTCCATATTGAGCAGTCTAATCAATGTTCTAAAAAGCGCCACAAATCCGACATTCACTGGATGTCGCTGTGATATAAGGGTGGAGTGATTTAATCAGGCTGACAATAAGAATCCTTGACCAATAAAACAAGTAACAGATTTTTGAAGGACGAAGTATTTTGATTTTAGGACGGCAAACTGTTTTATTGTTGGGGAGGGAACCACGAACGCCCCAAGGCAGAGACGCATGTATGAACAAGTGACAAATGCTGACACAGCGTGCAACACATGTGAGCAAAACAAAACGGCAACAGAGAGTACACCTTAGACATGGTCGACTGCTGACGGCTGGAATGGGAATACTTGCAGAGGTCAAAAAAGTTGACTACGCAAAGAAAAGTACACTTAGCCAAATACTGTGAAATCATGTTGCAGGATGCCATATGTAATGTATTATACATATTATACAGTATACAATCACATATTCAACCGTGACACTATAAGCTGTGTGCATACACTTTGTGCATATAGCATACCTTAATCAGTGTTATTCCCCTACCAGGGCTTGCCTGATGAATTTTGTGAATTCGAGGGATGACACGTGTTTTGTTACTCCTCAGTTCAACGAAATCATAGAATCTTCACAGTCGGTCAGCTGCTAAGTTCACCGTTACCAGAAGGATTTTCTAACGCTCCTTATGTCCTCATATCCACATGTTTCTAGGATTTAGTAGGAATAAATGACTCCCAAATCACTGCCGATCTAGTAAGGTTTGAGCTAGGCCATTGAATAATTGCATAGCTGATAGCCAAATCCAATGTCGTTACTGTTCCAGTGTGTCTTCATGAAGAGTTTGTTTGACATCAAGTCCATCATGCCGCGGCACCGCCCCTTGGACGCGAGTCCTTCTCGGTGAACATACATTATTCAGTATTTTTCCCAATGAAGTTCAACTCTACATTTTTCTTCCGCTGGCTCAACCGATAAATTCGTAACAAAGAAGCAAGCATACTCGGATTCGAATGATTTATTCTCAGAGCATAACAACTGCTACTATTTCGATCTTGAACTAACCTTTATTCCAAACTTTGATTTTACGATACAAACTTTTTTCAAAAATGTTTTTTTAAACAAGCTGTGAGAACAATACGACATTAGGGTGATTTATTGGTAAAATACATCATTTCGCTCCTACACAATGTGTAACTCACCAGAGTAACTGCTGGAGGGTTTATAGTAAAATGTCTGGTACACACATCCTTTCTGTGCGTAGCAAGCGACGCCCATTCGGTAGGGGTACTGCATCCATGAACCTGGGAATCACACATAGTACGGATAAATGCATCCTAGTATCTGAATACCCGCGTTGATCCACCCCACAAGTGGGAATATGTGCTTGACATTTGTATGACTTGGAACAATATCAGTAAACGAGCGTCTATCTCATACATCAATGGTGTTGAATATTGGTGAATATCGGTCCAATTAAATGAATGTAGAAAGCTTGTCTGTTTCAAATGTCAGAATGATAAGATATCTCCACCAACCTTTACTAAATATATCATCGGGACCTCACTGTCATAGAATGTGACTTATGATATGCTAAGGAAATCTGGTGCTATTATGAAATAACCAGAACAAAATTTGTTTTGAACACAATGACATCTCGAAACAACACCCCCATTGAAACTGCTGGACTTTGGAAGAAATCTGGTGATTCTGTCTAAGCAAACAGGAATGAAGTGTGGGATGAAGTAACAAACTAAATTGCCTACTACATTAAGATGTTAGGAAACCAGACAATCTATTCAGATGTGAAAGTACATGACTTGGGATTTCTATTCTCCGGTAAACAAATGACAAAATACAGTGGCATGATGAAGCATCTTTTTCAGTACAAAATCAACCGTCAGACACCTCATGTCGAACGACTTAGCGTGGATGCAGAAGTGAGACTGAAAAAGGGAACCACTTTTCTTTGACACTGTCAGTGCAATCTGCTGGAGGCTGTCCTGTAAATATGCCAGTATTTTGGAAATATAACTCCCAACTTAACGCAATATTCATCAGGTTGCTGGAAACGCCTCGACAGCCTAGAACGGGTTCCGTGGACCATGGCAAAGTAGCGACTCAAGTGAATTCAGTTGGGGCTCGTGTCAAAACCAAATTAGTGTGCAAACGAGAGCGTTTTTCATTACGCGAAAATTTCTGAGTTTTGGCTAACTACATGCTGATACGCGTTTCGGATGTTCCACACGTAAGCCTGGTCCTTCTTGTTTCAATCTCGTAGTTAGAGCCGTACTAAAAGTTCAATCAGACCCTCGAGATCCGTTCGTGCAGGCTGATTCCTAAGGATAGGAATGTGAATGAAAATTTCCTTCCTTATTTGCGGCTTCCTGGGTGCAAATGGTTCTGGGCTCCGTAAAAAGAAAACTTAAATGTTCAAATTGCAAAGCTATACTACTGTACTGGGTTACGGATACACGATGACCTCATCGGTGTGTGATTCATTCGAGACTTTTCATCGGTTTCTCTACTTTTGAACATCTTGGGAACATCTTGATCAGTCTTACAGGGTTGGATGTTAGCACTTATGCAAGGAAACAGCCAATTGACAGGCGAGGTAGGATGTTTGGGTAAATACGGACCTAAAACAAAATGTTATACGATGTCACTCTCCAAGGAAATGCTCTGGAGTATGCGCCACATGTGCACAGGCCTACTCCAGAATAACAGCGTTTCTTTGGTATGACAGTGTGAAGCAAAGTGCCTTTGGTGTCTTCTGATACGTGCGTCAAGTACGTCAATTTAAGACAACTGAGTCCCAAACGTGGTTTACCCGATATGCCTGATTTTCGCTTTGTTTTCTTTATAGGGTTTTCTTATTTTCTCACACTTCATAGGCCCACTTGACGACTAAAGTCAGACAAGTTGTTGTGAATTACTTGTGCAGTGCGGTACCGCAATGCTATACAACAAAATAGTTTTGTCGATTTTTCTTCGTAAGTTGCGAAGAAAATGACTCCTGCCGATTAAAGGAGAATGGAAACGAAAGTGTTGGGTTGTTGACTGACTTGCTGCAATACACCAAGCCACACCTATTCTGCCAGACCATACAGCGATCCCTACATATTATTCCACTGTGTAAGATATTAGTGTCCATCAGTTAAGCCTAACGGAAGATTTTCCCTTGGAATGTGACGCAATGTCCGTTCTCATGTTTCCCCACGACGGCATGTTATTGCTAATTTTACGTTCATTTGATTGATTCAATTAAACTGTTGCTACGGATAACCCAGAAACCTGTTTTACATTGTTTTTGTTTGTCCTGAAAAATATAAGTTCGTTGGGATCAGCAAGATAGTGCAGGTCACCTCTGTTTCTTTCACCACTATGTCTTCTGTCTAGTCACACCGAAATTCACGTCACTAGACTGGCATTTTCGTATATAGTTCCTTTCAGGATTTACTGTGGTCTCATCTAAGTAATTATACAAGTGACCTACCGTCCTATTTCGGTTAAAGTATGCTTCCAGTTGTCCTCTTTTTAGTTAACTTACTCAAAGGTCTATTTTAAAGAAAAAAACTCTGTTTTAGGTAAGCATTCACATTTACTAGTTAATAGTGGTAACGTGATCTATCGAATAAAGTTACATGGATTTCGAAGCAAAATCTCTGATGCCCCATAATCTTCCAGGCTGACAGAGAGGCATTCAGCATGCTAGAAGAATTTCGTTTGAAGACCTCACAGACTGGAAGAATTCCCCTAGAAAACCGACTTTCCTTAAGAGTCTATGTTGCTATCATTTTTCGTAGCAAGCAAGCAGAACTTTCGCCAGACTGATGATACACCGGATCTCTGCTTATATGGACATCCTATAACCAGTTGACCTGGTTTCGGGTTGTACTTTGACGAAACCCTTTCCCTTCTCGTGAGAAAACGACAGTGAACCAGGTGCAGGAAAATAGACAAACAAGCAGCTGCACAACTTAAGAAAAAAATTCAACTGGTGTTTCGTTTGAAAATATGTCTTCGCCCCATATTGAAGACAGATCCATCGCGACCTTCAGCATGGTTCGTTTGTGCACACATGTTCGGCAACCACCATGGCTGGAAACAGGGTTGGATGCGATAGACAGCCAGCGTAATGGAGCGTGATCCCATGTGACTGCCGACCTGACATGAGGACACAGGCCTGGGTGTTGAACACGGTGAGTTTGAAATTTTTTCATTCATTTTCGCCTTATAAATAACATCAAAATATCTGTTCGCGTTTGGTTGTTGATTTGTGGTACGTAACCTCAATGGAATCGCAGTTCCCTGCTGACTACTGAAATTCAGGACGGTGTTTTCGGAAGGTACTAGCTGTGGTTCTTCTCGTAGAATCAGTAGGGATAACTAATGTAGACGAGGAACAAACGCGGGTGAATATTGAGATAAAAAATGAAGCCATGAATGCTTACCTCATCATACTATGCTACTTTTGTTAAAAAAGAGCCTTCCGAGAGTGTAAGCGGGTTTTACGGACCCAAATTAGCGCTAGATTTTTGTTTTATGCCCTGTGGTTCTACCCAAGAATAAGTGAAAACTGGCAGACCTCTTTTGTCTACAAAGGAAATTTTTCCCATGCATTGTCGTTTAAACAAGTAGTCTTACCCAGGGAAACACCTGTATATAGTTTAGTTCGAAGCGTGCGTTCATGAGCCCAGAATGCTTTCATGCTTTCCATTTCGGTGTTC